TTGTTATTGTTGCAGCACCCTCTTAGCCTGGTGCCCACTGTGTGTGAACCAAACATGATCCCCTAAATAGAGTATCACAGCACATGGAGACTTGGATCTTTGGCCTCCAGTGATATATAGGTGGCTGCAGCATGTCGTTCCACCATTGCAACATGGCCTTATGTTCAAAAGCAGTGTTCATTCCGCAGACCAAAAGCTTGTGTTTGTTTCTTTCTCTGATCTCCCTTTTCGTTTTATTCAACACCTGCATCCATAAACAGCAGCCTGGTTTACTGAGTTTGCTCTCAACCCTTCCCCAAATAAACTAGCTCTTTCTCGGTTTCATCCACACTCTCCCACCACTGTCATTTCTGTGACAGAATTTACATTTTTACTGCTTTGTCCTGCCCTTGGCTGCATGCAGATATAGTTGCAGTGGGGAAAACACACGCCAATAAAATAAATGAATCCTGTTTGTTTTACCTTTTCTGTTTAACGTGGAAAAATTTATAATCTAAGAATCAAATAAATCGTGGAAGTACGGTAGTCTTTTATAATTCATCCTTAGAACGATGTGGCAAATGGGGGGGGGACCTGTAAATCAGAAAAAGAATCCAAAATCCATATTACGGTGATATACAGTGGTACCTCAGGTTACAGATGCTTCGGGTTACAGACGCTTCAGGTTACAGACTCTGCTAACCCAGAAATAGTACCTCAGGTTAAGAACTTTCCTTCAGGATGAGAACAGAAATCGTGCGGTGGCGGCAGGAGGCCCCATTAGCTAAAGTGGTACCTCAGGTTAAGAACGGTTTCGGTTAAGAACGGACCTCCAGATTGAATTAAGTTCTTAATCCAAGGTACCACTGTACTTATCAGACAAACGAAAATATCATAAAACAACATGCAAGCTTTTGAATATTGCGTAACACTTCATTGGGTTAGATGGCTAACATAGCAAAGGAGGTAAGCTGGTAAGTGCCAGAATAGGGGTGGGCGTTGAATTAAAGAACAGGATGCCAATGGGCATATGTTTGGGCCAGGAGTTTGTCGTCAGCAGCAGACAAGCTCACAGTCCTTCCATACAAAAATCCAATCCTAAACCACATCCTTTGTTCCAATAGCCTGATTTAGAAAAGGGGAAAATAAGCGCTTTCTTGATGCTATTGTTAAAATAAATTAGGTTCGGAAACACTTGTCGATAACTCAGAGATCAGCACTTTTTGGTCTAAATTCTACTCTCACCCCCCCTCCCCACTGTAGTGCTTGTGGGGCTAGTTTAGCTAATCCCTTCCCACTTTCTTTTACACCGTTTCTAAAGGGACGCAGGTGGCGCTGTGGGTTAAGCCACAGAACCTAGGACTTGCCAATCAGAAGGTTGGCGGTTCGAATCCCCGCGACGGGGTGAGCTCCCATTGCTCAGTCCTTGCTCCTGCCAACCTAGCAGTTCAAAAGTACATCAAAGTGCAAGTAGATCAATAGGTACCGCTCCGGCAGGAAGGTAAACGGCGTTTCCGTGTGCTGCTCTGGTTCGCCAGAAGCGGCTTAGTCATGCTGGCCACATGACCCAGAAGCTGTACGCTGGCTCCCTCGGCCAGTAAAGTGAGATGAGCACCGCAACCCCAGAGTTGGCCACGACTGGACCCTGGTCAGGGGTCCCTTTACCTTTAACATGTGCCTAAGGATGCTTGCTTTGGGAGTCAGGTCCTGTCCCTGCCCCGCCCCATGTCCTTTAAGCTGCAAGGAAGCAGTATCCTTCAAAATTTAAAGGCTCATCTGCCACCTGTAGGACTCTTCTATTACCTGCAGAGCAAGAGGGTTCAGGTGGCAGCTGTCCTCTAGAAGTTTATGACTGGCTGTTGCCAGGCAATTGTTTCTTTTGCAGTTAGAACAATGGCTCTCACAGCCCATGGTCCCCCATACAACAACCTTGGAACAGGTGATGGGGCATCTAGCCTGATACAGCATCAGAGGATCACAGCCACATCCTTCCTCCTCCACCAATTTAGTTATCGAGTTAGCCATAACCCAATGCAACAACCCAGCCAACTGCCCTCTTAATTTCCCCAGAATTCCTGGAAGCATTTTTTTAATATAAAATAAATCTAATTATGGTTTTTATTATTTGCATTTCTATCCCACCTTTTTTTTCTCCAAGGAACTAAAGGCGGTGCACATAGTTTTCCCCCTCCTCATTTAATCTGCACAACAACCCTACGAGGTATGTTAGGCTGAATTGCACAGTGGTAGCAATGGGTTTGAATAGAGAAGTCTCATGGTACCTTTAAAACTAACACTTTCTTTCTTTCTTTCTTTCTTTCTTTCTTTCTTTCTTTCTTTCTTTCTTTCTGCATTCATTCACTCACTTATTTCATAAGCTTTATACCCTGCTTGATTGTTTTAAACCCTCAAAGTGGTTTACAAAATGAAGATGAGACAATAAAATTACACTCTTACTTTAAACCCGCTGGAAATGACCGCTGGGAGGAGTGCAGAAAAAAAGAAACGCATCTATATCAGCGAAACTGGCTGCCTTCATCTGCCTCACCTGCAATGAAACATGTCTCTCTCATCTACAGCCACAGCAGGCGCTGTGACTCTCCAGTGGTTTGACTTTACTCACCCTGCCATGGCGCACTCTTCCATTGCCTCTCAAGGCAGACGGATGCCAGCAACTGCAAACTATAAAGAAATAAATAAACTAGATGCTTCCTTTGCTGCCTGTTAAGCCAGGAAGGGAGGAGAGGGGAGTGAGCTACTAGGGAAGAAAGCGCAAGAGGGTTGGGGGTGGATTCTGGCTATCACTGGGGAAGAGAGGAGATAATTTAAAGTCAGAACTTATAAGGCAATGTATTAGGACCAACATTAGCTTTCTTTGCTTCTGTATGTGTGTTAGTTATAGAAGTTGAGATCCCCCACACCCCTTCTCTTCCTAATGGACTGGGGAGCTTTTGCAGAGTGGAGAGTCTTATTTCCTTTATGCCGCAACCCAGAAACACTTTCTAGGGAGTAAGACTGCAATCCTGTATATATCATTTACCTAGGAGTAAGTACCAAGGAAAGGTGTGGGGCTTACATCTGCGAAGATATGTAAAGGCTTGCACTCCTGTAGGTCCTATGGAGACTGAGGGCTGCAAACCTAAGCCCCTTTGAGCACAATAGCTTTCTTATGAGTAAGCATGGGACGCGGGTGGTGCTGTGGGTTAAACCACAGAGCCTAGGACTTGCCAATCAGAAGGTCGGCAGTTCAAATCCCCACGACGGGGTGAGCTCCCATTGCTCAGTCCCTGCTCCTGCCAACCTAGCAGTTCAAAAGCATGTTAAAGTGCAAGTAGATAAATAGGTACCGCTCCGGTGGGAAGGTAAACGGCGTTTCCGTGCGCTGCTCTGGTTTGCCAGAAGCGGCTTAGTCATGCTGGCCACATGACCCGGAAGCTGTACACCGGCTCCCTTGGCCAATAAAGCGAGATGAGCGCCGCAACCCCAGAGTCGGCCACGACTGGACCTAATGGTCAGGGGTCCCTTTACCTTTACGAGTAAGCATACATGTGTAGGATTGGACTATAAATGCATTTAAAGAGATGTTCTTGATTTCTTATCACACCGAAACTCAATAATCACATTGTTTTATTTGGCCACATGTATAGCTGACATTCTTGAAGTCAAGAATGTTAAATCTCTTGTCATTTCCCCAAATTGCAAAAAGGACATAAAGACAGCTGAGTACCTGGAAACCAGGTTAAGGAACAGCGATTAATTTTGCCCCTTTGCTGCTTATTTAGGTGTTATCTGTTTTCTTCACTGAGGACCAATCTATACATAGGAACTGAAGCAACAATTTTAAAGGACTTGCATTTTAATTCTTTAACTCTCTTGTTATGGTTATTGTCCAGTTTCAACAAATAAAAATATTAATGACAAAACCGCTCGTTGTTTGAATTTCTGCTGTTTCTGTTAAAGCTCACAACCTTGTTTATTGGCATGTTTGAAATAAAGAACTCCTTTTTAATATGGGTATGTGCAGACTGTCATTCATTCATACATACATCAAAGCAATTCAGTGCTACATAACACCACCTTTGAACCTGCCAGCATTTCCAGCTTAAAAAACTGAACTTTTATTTTATTTTAAACACATATCTTTTCCTACAGAATTGTTCTCATCCCATGAAAATGTGTTTAGCATCAGGGTAGCAGAAGCACGCTCCATTTTATACCTGTAATGTGCTGTGGCTTAAGTGAGTTTAAAATGCTAAACTGCACGTGCTCAGAGTATTTCTTTCTTTCGTCTTTCAGATTAGTTTGGCAAAGAATTTTGGTTTGTTTGTTTTTTGCTCTAGAGTCTAGCATTTTGCAGCAGCGGAAAAGCTGTAAAAGGTGGAAGCGTGATAGGCTTCCCAATTGAAGTAACACACATTTTAACATGCTTTAATTCTTCCCGGGGAATCAGCTCCCCTCCTCTTTCAATTAATGTGCATTGACCACCAATCACAAGTTATGTTCACGAGTGTGAGACCAGAAACCTCCGCTCCATTTCTCGTTATCAGTCATTTATGCCTTTAAAAATAGAAGGTGCGAGTTTTTCCCGGTTTTAATAAAGCACTTTGCATCCTGTACAAGTAAAACCATCTGGTGTCTGAGTAAGTCTTAAGTCATACAAAGTGATGCTGGTTAATTTCATAGGATGACTGGCTGGAGGGCAGCCTCAAATTGGAGCTGAAAAGTATTTATTTATTTACAGAATCATGAATTATCAAAAATTCCTGCAGCATGCACTCCCCTCGACCCATCCCAAAGGCAGCCACCGATGTTTGGCAACCCAATGACTGCTTAGACTCCAGGAAATAGAAGCAGTCTCATCCTATACCTGGGGGAAAGTGTGGATGCTGGGAAGACCTCAGGGCCACTGGATTGCTTATGGGGATGCTTTTGTCAAGAACTGCATTTCAGAGGCGTGCCTTCCTTTAAAACAAACACAAACCCACCCAGTCAATTGATCTGGGCTGGAGGAACCTGGGGAGGGAGCTTCTCCCTTCGCCTCCGGCTGGCGGGGCGGGGTCCGGATGGAAGGCGGGTCTCTATAAAGCTAGGCACGCAGGGCGCCCCCCGCAAGAAAACTCTGGCCGCCGCTGCTGTTGCTGCGCGTTTTGGAGAGGAGCCTGCGGCGCTTTGGTGAGTGGAGCGCGGAGGCGAAGGGAGGCTGCGCTTTCGCCTTCTCCTTCTTCTCCGGAGGAAAGCTCCCCCTACGAGCTTGAAAGCTGAGCTTTGCCCATTTGGCATAGGGAACAGAGGGTGTGTTTTTTTGGGGGGGGTGCGACCCCCCCTTTGAGCCTCTATATGCCAAGTAAATGGCAGGAAGCTTGGATGGCTGAAGGGACGCGAGCGGTACTTCTGGGTACCAGCCGCCCCCAGCCCCAGCTGCTGCGCCCTGTTAATTCGCGCTCCCTGCAAACAGAAAGCTAGCGCATCAGGGAAAGAAGGGGTTGCGTGGGTTTTTGCTCTCTGGTTCGCTCCGCTTTCCTGCTTGCATGGAGTTTTTAATAGAGGAAGCATGCGGATCTTCCCATCCGCACGACCGTCCCACCGCTCGTATGCGGTCTTTTCTCATTCCAACGCCTTGCTCTGCTGCGACACACATTCTTCAAGATGCGGCTTGTTTTCCTAAATGCAATCTACTTGGGAGTAAGGGCCACCGAAATTGCTGTGGCATGCTTCTGAGTAAACGCACGCAATAATGTTAGGCGTTTTTTTCCTGTTTTTTAAAGGGGAGGAAGCCCCAGTAGTGACAGTGTCTTAGTCAGCTAAAAACCGCAAGCAAGTTCTTTTGTTTCACAGCCCCCTTGCATATATCTTTTCTTCACACCCAGTTAAATAGAAAAAGGGTGTGGAGAAGAGACCAAGAAAAGTTCATGATGGGTCTTTAGTTCAGAGTGGGGAACCTGGGACGCTCCAACTGTTGCTGGAGGTACAAACTTAATCACAAAGACATTGCAAAACTGCCTTGAAAACACCAGAAAAAGTTTCCATGTTCTTATTGGGTGTCCTGTCACTAGGTCTGGTTGAAATGTGTAACTTAACCTTTGGTTGCCACAGCAGTAACACTATTAGCCCACATTCAAGACTAAGCCGGGTCTGGTATGGTTTCAAATTGGATGAGGGCCAGTCTGTTAAAATTCCTGCATGTGGGGGTGGACTAGATGACTCTGGGTGCCCCTTCCAGCTTTGATTCCTTTTCCCACTGGGGCACAGGCCACATGTGATAGAAAGCTTGTAGGTGTGGGGTTTTTTTGTTTTGTTTTACCATGGCAGTTAAGGAAGCACCTGCCACTCTGTTCCTGTTCGTTTTTCTAATTTCGAAAATGCCCTGAAAAGAGTTCTGAAACTTGCCTGGTTGTGAACAGAAATTATGACGGAGTGGGCAAAGCTTGCACACTAATATGTTGATATCTCAGGGCCGTAAGGCTCTTGGCTTTCCCTCTTTTGTTCCTAAGAAGGCTGCCTCCTGTTTCCCCTCCATCTTGTTTCTGGGTCTCGCTAGCCTTTTGCTTCTGCCGCTAACCAGCCCTCTTTTGGGGGTCTGGCTATATAGAGAACTATTGCCATTCCTAGGTGTGACTGGGAGTGGTTAAGAGGCAAGGAAAGGCATCCCATTTGTGTACCTACCACCCATATAGACATTAGGGTTTCTTCCTTGCTCTTATTTCCCCCTGCCTCAATTAGCCATGTGGGTTAAACCACGGAGCCTAGGACTTGCCGATCAGAAGGTCAGCGGTTCGAATCCCCGCGACGGGGTGAGCTCCCGTTGCTCGGTCCCTGCTCCTGCCAACCTAGCAGTTTGAAAGCACACCAAAAAGTGCAAGTAGATAAATAGGTACCACTCCAGCGGGAAGGTAAACGGCGTTTCCGTGCGCTGCTCTGGTTCGCCAGAAGCAGCTTAGTCCTGCTGGCCACATGACCCGGAAGCTGTACGCCGGCTCCCTCAGCCAGTAAAGCGAGATGAGCGCCGCAACCCCAGAGTCAGCCACGATTGGACCTAATGGTCAGGGATCCCTTTACCTTTAAATAAGACTTGCAAGCCACAGGTGGGTGTTACAGTTGTTCTACCTCCCCTGTGTTCAGCTGCCAAGTATTGGAAAGCTGCATTTCCTTGTGTTTCTAAGTACTTCTAACCTTGCGCAAAGGATCACTGCCTGAACATACCTCTCTGGCACTGCCATTACAGTACACATTGGTGAAGCCTCATCTCTATGACATGCTGGATTGGTTGGTTCAAACTAGCAGTAGCATGTAAAATGGCAGTCCATGTGCATTGCACATCCAGTGTCCATGTGCCTGCACCTATGAAGGGGGAAAGGGTTTAGCATGTATATTGATTTTGTCCTCAGTCAGTGCCCAAGCTAAAGCCTAATCGTCTGACTGGCAACAAGGATACTAAAATATATTTTTTCCAAGTAACGGGTCCTTTGGAGAGCTTAATGGGGCACCCACGCAACACCAGTTTCCCTCTTTAAAATATTTCAAATGTTTTAAAAGCAACATTTGGAGCAAAACAACAACACCACCATACTGTAATTGGACATGGAAGAAATTATAATAAAATAGGGTGTGGGAGAAAAGAGGAGAGGTTCTGTGTCATCAGGTATTCTTCCTGTTAAGATGTTGTGGTATGTGAAATTCTGCATCTTAGTAAATTAATGAACTCTGGATTGTTGACTGGGACTCTCTAGAAACTGCCCTTGTGCAGCAGTTGTGTGGTAGAGAATGCTCAAACTCCAAAGAACTCAGCCATAGTAACTAAACCCGGAATATAGGTATTTGTGTGGTGAGGGAGGGAGGGGTGGTGGTGGTGTGGGGTAATTGGGCAGGGGGGGGGGGATAGACAGAAAAGGTAATGAGACCATAATTCTAAGGTACAACCCTATTCTATATTCAGAGTATTTTAAGGGAAGGTGTTTGTGTTCCTCACAACAAATGAGCAGTACTTTCATTTGCTGCTTTGAACATTTAGAAAGCTTGGAAGATAAAATGTAAAAGCTTAGAATATACTGCAGATAAACTGGCTCCCAGTATGTTTCTGAGCACAATTCAAAGTGTTGGTGCTGACCTTTAAAGCCCTAAACGGCCTCGGTCCAGTATACCTGAAGGAGCGTCTCCACCCCCATCATTCTGCCCGGACGCTGAGGTCCAGCGCCGAGGGCCTTCTGGCGGTTCCCTCATTGCGAGAAGCAAAGCTACAGGGAACCAGGCAGAGGGCCTTCTCGGTAGTGGCGCCCGCCCTGTGGAACGCCCTTCCAGCAGATGTCAAAACAATAACCAACTACCTGACATTCAGAAGACATCTTAAGGCAGCCCTGTTCAGGGAAGTTTTTAACGTGTGATATTTTACTGTATTTGTGGTTTTTATGGAAGCCGCCCAGAGTGGCTGGGGAGGCCCAGCCAGATGGGCGGGGTATAAATAATAAATTATTATTATTATTATTATTATTACTTCAAAGGAAGGTCAACACAGTCCATCCTTCCATTGGTATTAATGGAGCCAACCTGGGCGACTGGGACTGAACCTGTGAACCACAGCAAGTCTGGTGGTGCACAGAATAAGTTGCCAGGCTCCCAGCTCTTTCCATGAAGGGCTTCCCAAACCATCTGCAGTCTCTCATATTTGCTGTACCCTGTTGGTGTAACTGGATGGTCTGATTAACATGTTCTTTTCCTCCCCCCCCTTTCTTTCTTTTTAGTTACTTAAAAGATCAATCTACAATGGCAGACAACAGACCAAATGCTGATTCCTTGTCCCGCAGTGTGCTCAGCTGGGATCAGGTCAGTCGTCTTCATGAGGTCCTGTCCGAGGTGGTGCCAATTCACGGAAGAGGCAACTTTCCGACTCTGAAAATAACTCTGAAGGATATTGTCCAAACTGTTCGCCGCAGGCTAAGTGAAGCAAACATTAAGGTGCACGACGTCCGTCTGAATGGTTCCGTGGCAGGTCATGTCTTGGTCAAAGACAATGGACTGGGTTGTAAGGATCTAGACCTTATCTTTCAAGTATGTCTCCCAAGTGAGACCGAGTTCCAGTTGGTCAGAGATGTGGTTTTGCAGTCCCTCTTAAAATTCTTGCCTGAAGGGGTCAACACCGTAAAAATTAGCCCCATGACCCTTAAGGAAGCCTATATTGAGAAGCTGGTGAAAGTGTGCACCGATATTGACCGATGGAGTCTAATCTCTCTCTTCAACAAGCATGGCAGGAATGTAGAGCTCAAGTTTGTGGATCGTATAAGGCGGCAGTTTGAATTTAGCGTGGACTCTTTTCAGATAATACTAGACTCTCTGCTCTTCTTCTATGATTGCTCAGAGAACCCAATGTGCAAGCATTTCCACCCAACTGTGATTGGAGAAAGCATGTATGGTGACTTTGAGGCAGCCTTGGATCACCTGAAGAACAGGCTGATAGCCACCAAGAACCCTGAGGAGATCCGAGGAGGAGGTCTCTTGAAGTACAGCAATTTGCTTGTGAGGGACTTCAAGCCCATGGACAAAGAGGAGATAAAAACCCTGGAGCGTTACATGTGTTCTAGGTTCTTCATAGACTTCCCAGACATTCTAGAGCAGAAACGCAAGTTGGAGACATACCTCCTGAACCACTTTGCTGAAGAGGACAGAAGCAAATATGACTACCTAATGACCTTGCGCGAAGTAGTCAACGAGAGTACGGTGTGCCTCATGGGACATGAGCGAAGGCAGATACTGAACCTCATCTCCCTTCTGGCGCTCAGAGTGCTGGTAGAGCAAAACCTCATCCCAAATGCCACCAATGTCACCTGCTACTACCAGCCAGCTCCATATACCAGTGATGCAAACTTCAGCAGCTACTACGTTGCAGATACATATGGCCAGTCTCACCCCACCTGGCTGCCTTGTAACTGATTTTGAGCTTCCTATTTTTCAAAGCCCCCCCCCCACCAACTAGGTCTCACACCAATCGAACAGCTCCTGGTTCTCTTTCCTCATTCCTTAAATAGCCTTGATCAACCCATAGAGAGGGCCTCATCTTTCCTAGTTACCTCTCCTCTCCTCTCACTGGGGGAACTGTCCTTATGCTGTTCCCCAAAACTTCTTAAAACTGAAGATAGAAAGATGCTGTTGGGACAAAGCCAGAGTAGTAGTAACTGCTTGATTGCTTCCATGCATGTTGTCTTCTGAAGTTTGAATCAAGTTATCTTTGCAAATAATGAGGATTAGGCTGATATGACTATGGAAGATCATAGCTCCAGTCCTGTATGACATTAGGCTGTTCAAAGTCAATAGGACTGAAGCAGCTTCTGAACTGTATGCAGGACTGAAGCCATTTTCTTTTCCCTCAGAAAGTCTTAAATTAGCAGTTGACTCATTGCTGCTGTAGCAGGACTAAAGAATGGATTTCAGTTTGGAGAGGATAATGACATCTGCCAAAACTGTCCCTTTTAGTTTAAAGAAATTAAGGCTGTCCTAAATTACATGATGCAGGAATTCTAAGAACCCAAGTCAAGCTTTTTTTTTTTAAAAAAAAAGCAAAGTACTAGAAAATATATGGTAATTATGAAACTTAAGTTTAATATATTATTTTCCACTGGTGCTTGGACTGACCTGCCAGGGAAATATGGAATACTCCTGCCCCCAGAGTTCAGCTGAAACTGCAGGATGTTCCTAAGTCTCTGATGTCACAAGTCTGATCAGAGGGAAACTGGGATGGCTTTACTTTGTTATGTTTATGTACTGTACCATTGGCTTGTAAGTGTGCATAGTTAGGGATTTCTAGAGTACAGCAGTATTGTTGAAGACAAATTGGTAAAAAACCTCACTTGAAATAATTGTTCCAAGCTTGCAGATGGCCTGGGCTGGAAGAGGGTTTCTATAACATGGATTTTCTTGTTTCGGGGGGATTCCCCTTGAAAAATGGGTTCATTAAAAATTATTTTTTTAAGTATCATTTATTTAAAAATGATATTTTTGGCCAAAGGTCAGTTGTGTGCCCTCCCCCTCCGCAAGCCTCAAAGTATACAAGTGGGTCCGTTCTCACATGTGGTGTTTAAAGAGCCTGCCTTTAAGAAAGGATCCTGCAAACAAGTCCTGTTAAAAGGGAACATGGTGTAGACTAGAGATATGGAAGACCCAGAAAAAAATTGGAAAAATTGGGGGCCTTCACATTGCTAGTGCAAAAGATCAGTGTTATGGTTGGCAATGTTAATTTGCGCTTCAGTTAAAGGAATCCATGTTTTGATGAACTGTCACAGGTATGGGAAATGCAAATACTGGGTCCCAGAAGAAGTCTTGAAATTTGTCTATCAAATTCAAAAGGCAGTAAAAGAAAAACAACAAAAACCTCTTGGGCTGTCCACGGTGTTCCTATAGTCGAAAGACCGGCCACCTACTTAATAGGCGAACTTTCTGTACATTTCCCCCCAAAGGAAACTAAGCTAAGGTTAGGCGTGGGATCGTGATGGGAATACTTCCCTGGGAAACACACTGTGTTTGGATGGCATTGAGTTAATGAGGAACAGTACTTGGCCCCCTTCTCATTTAACTGTTCAAAACAAGAGGGCAGAGGGTTTACTTACTCTTAGTACTGCTACTTCTGCAACACAGAGATAAACACTATCTGTAGCCATGCAGATGTCGCTGGCTGTTTGAAAGCAGCAGCACCTTGAGTGAAGTAGTAGTTGAACAAAGCTGATAAGCAGGGAAGTATAGGGCTTGTGATTTGAGTGCCAAGGACTTGTCAGTTTCAATTGCTTTTGGCCATTCTACACATTTTTTGCTGAGTAATTTCAGACTGCCTGAATGTTTCTTGACTGTGCTCTTCTGCCTATACATTGATCTGCCTGTGTCTTGGGGGTAAGGGAGGAACAGAAGGAAGGATCGTATTAAGTGCGGCTGCAGCAACAAAGCAAAATTTAGATTCCCCCACCCCCACCCCCGCCACGGACCTCAAAGTTGAAATGGACTATAATCTGAAGAGTAGCATTTCTTTACACTGGAAGAAACCTTTTTCACGCACGTCTGGTAAATATGTATTTCTTTAAATTGTAAACCTAATGTCAGTTGCCAGATGAGCAGCTTTTCGGAGCGCTACCGATGCGTATCTTATTTTGGTTTCCTTAAGGTGAAAAATAAAGTCTGTCAACTTAAACATGACTGTTGTTCTTGTTCTTCCTCCCTTCCCCCTCATTAAGGGGTTTTCCAATGGCAGCTTAATTTATAATTCCTCCACACATCCCTTGCCCAGGTCAAATATCAACTATTTAATATCCCTTTAGTTCTTTAGTACCTTAGGTTGGAGAAAGATGTGGAACCAGCTTGCCTATTGACTTCTCAAGGGTAGTGACTTTTTTTCCTATCAGCGAGGCTGTTAACTCCTTACACAGTACGTATAAGCTAAACAAGCTGTAGCTTAGGGACCCACTCTCTTGCCCCCCAAAAAAAAAATTAAAGAAAAAAGGCCTGGATGTACATTTCCCAAATATAAGACAAAAAACAAATAAAATAAAACCTACATATAGCAACAGTGTTTGTGTTATGCAGGCTCCTATGATGTAAATAATGGGCCCCGCCTGCTAGCCTGCTCCCTAAAATATCACTGGTTTGCTCATTTCTATATATAGGGTGCCTACATTCTGCATGTGCAAATGGCTTTAGATACCTATTAGGTCCATAAATTACCATATAGCATATATCCAACACAAAAAAACAGCGACAATTTGTTGTTGACAAAGCACAGCTGGACATATAAAAAGGCCCCATTACCTTCAGTAGCTTAGGGCCTCATCAAGCCTAAATCCAGCCCTGATTAAGATGATACTAACATAACCACCACAGTGCCCTGTTGTTGTTGTTGTTGTTTAGTCGTTTAGTTGTGTCCGACTCTTCGTGACCCCCTGGACCAGAGCATGCCAGGCACTCCTGTCTTCCACTGCCTCCCGCAGTTTGGTCAGACTCATGCTGGTAGCTTCGAGAACACTCCAACCATCTCGTCCTCCGTCGTCCCCTTCTCCTTGTGCCCTCCATCTTTCCCAGCATCAGGGTCTTTTCCAGGGAGTCTTCTCTTCTCATGAGGTGGCCAAAGTCTTGGAGTCTCAGCTTCAGGATCTGTCCTTCCAGTGAGCACTCAGGACTGATTTCCTTCAGAATGGAGAGGTTTGATCTTCTCACAGTCCATGGGACTCTCAAGAGTCTCCTCCAGCACCATAATTCAAAAGCATCCATTCTTCGGCGATCAGCCTTCTTTATGGTCCAGCTCTCACTTCCATACATCACTACTGGGAAAACCAGAGCTTTAATAATACGGACCTTTGTTGGCAAGGTGTCCACAGTGCCCTAGATTTCACACAAAAACTGTCTCTCCCATCCAGGCCTAAGAGACATTAATTCCAGAGCAGTCTGAATAAAAACAATCAATAGTGCCCTAAGTTAATATTGGTCCCTGCTAATTCATTATTCATTTACTTCATTTATTGTATTCATATCACACCCTGGGGTGTATGGGGTGCTGGTGGGGTAGTACCTCTGGTGAGGGACACATCATGCTCCTTCTGGGCTTGGTTGTCCATCTTTGGTCCCCATCCTGCACTCAACTCTCACCTGTGGCTTCTTGAAGCTGTTAGCATTCCTCAGGGACCACGCCCCAGAAACAGATTTGACTGGCTGGCTAAACCAGGTGAGGGTAGCTGATGGGTCTCAAACCCTCAGTGAGTTAGGGACCTCCCCTGCATGCGAAGACAGACTCTTGTGGATGGGACAGGTGAGACCAAGAGTGGATCCAGTGGTCAAGAAGTCAGTTTCTGCACATGGTGGAAGTGAGGTGCAGATGGGGTTCATCAACCTGGGAAGGTAGCCCAGAAGGAAAGCTCTGATCCTAAACCTCCACCGCCTTGTGGGATATATTTGGGAGAAGAAAAGGCTAAGGAGTAAACCCTACACAAATCCATATGCTGTAGCTATGCATTAAATCTGGCAGCCCAAATGGACTGCCAATCAAAGGATACAGTCAGTGGGAGCCAGTAGTGCAGCTGTGTATTCAGTAAGAATACAACTCTAGTATCCAGTGTAGGCAAACCCAAATGTGTATTGTAGATTATAACGCAGGAATATCTGACTTCTGTGTGATTTGTGTTAATTTTCCCTTCAAGAGAAACATCACATTTTCTGATTGTAAAAAACAGTATTTTGGTCTTAGTTCTCAGTATGATGGGGATCTTATTTCTTCCTCACATACAATGTTTCTCCATACCAAAAAAAACAACCACCCCCCAAATCTCCTTGCTGCTGGAAAACTAGGATGACAACTAGGCTAGAACCACTCTCTCTGAAATCCAGTTTTGTATGGGGAAGGGATGTTGTGTCTGCTGGGCAATTGTGTTCGGGGCATTGCTGGACAATCTCCAACCTGTATTTTAAATGGTATAGCCCACATAGGGATTCTCCGGTCCACTGATAACTAGATTTTGGTAAGATTGGGTTGTTGCATTATTATTTTTTGGTAGGTTGTCCATGTTTCTGTTTGATAGCTGAGGCAAGAATAACCTTACAGCTTTCAGAACAGTTTGTTCTGAAAGGCTCAGAAGCAAACACCCCTCACCCCTCATTCTGGTTTCAAACACCTGTTGGTTTCAGCCTTGCACACCCTGAATATAATTACATTAGTGTTTAGGACGTTAGGAACAAATGTAGTTCTGAATTCAAACTAGTACAGAAGTAGTTTTACTTCTGGCTTGTCACGTGTGTTTTCCGAGAACATATATTGGAAAGCGTGCATGTTTTATTGCCCTGGATAAAAACAGAGGCTGCAGAACATGTAGATGAAGCTTGCCCACTCCATCATGGTGTGTAAAATTCAAAGTAAACGTCTCTGCACCTAGATAGGCAGCTCAGAGAGATTTTCTCTAAATGTCAGTTATGCATAACTGAATAGAGAACACCAGTTTGCATATGGTAACATATGTGTATAGGTGAAAACTTAGAAACAATTGCTGCAATTGAAATATAATTCCTCTAACCATAATGGACTCATGTGCTTGCTTCGTCTGACGTCCGGGTTTGTTAACTGTTGCTGCTTAGCAATTTCAGACAAAAAGGCCCAGGCCAGGGGGGTGGACCAGAAAACCTGGGGGAAGAAACCCCTTTTCCCCAGATGTCCTTCCAATGGAGAAAGATTGAGGTAAAATGAAGCAAAGTTTCCTTTTTCAGAATGAGCATAACACTTCTTCAAGTCACAACTCCCGGTTATGCTAAAAGCCTAGGATGAGAGCTTATGATTAGGAATTGCCTCCTGACACCTAGAAGTCCTTCTCAAGGGTTTTGAAAGAGGGAGTTATGGGGGTTTAGAGAAGATGCCCTTCACCTAAGAAGAGGTCCCCTGGCTGGCCCCAGGCATTTTGCTGCCTGAAGCAGAAGAGCAAATGCAGCCCCTCCTGGCATTAAGGTGCTGGTGTTGTTGTTTAGTCGTTTAGTGGTGTCCGCCTCTTCGTGACCCCCTGGACCAGAGCACACCAGGCACTCCTGTCTTCCCCTGCCTCCCGTAGTTTCGTCAAACTCATGCTGGTAGCTTCGAGAACACTGTCCCACCATCTCGTCCTCTGTCGTCCCCTTCTCCTTGTGCCCTCCATCTTTCCCAACATCAGGGTCTTTTCCAGGGAGTCTTCTCTTCTCATGAGGTGGCCAAAGTCTTGGAGTCTCAGCTTCATGATCTGTCCTTCCAGTGAGCACTCAGGGCTGATTTCCTTAAGAATGGATAGGTTTGATCTTCTTGCAGTCCATGGGACTCTCAAGAGTCTCCTTCAGCACCATAATTCAAAAGCATCGATTCTTCGGCGGTCAGCCTTCTTTATGGTCCAGCTCTCACTTCCATACACCACTACTGGGAAAACCATAGCATTAAGGTGCACAAGGACCTAAATTGGATAGCAAGTCAGTTTGGCAGCTGACAGCAAATCCTACAAGTACACCTCCAGGAAATCAGATGAGAGGCCATCAGCATGGGATAAGACAACCCCTACCACTTTCTGGAAGCCATTAGGATCCATTAAGGGATGGGGCAGACCACTGAAATTGGTCCCACAAATTGGTAACTAAAATGTCATTAAAAGGGCGGGGGTAGAATGCAGGTGGGAGGAACAATTTATGCAGTCCTCACTGATGCTCACGGGGGTCTGGAATGTAACCCCCATGCAAAATGAGGGTTGCCTGTATCAACAAAAGTGGCCAGCTACTCTCTTGAAAAAACTAACCCACCGTATTCAGCTGTCTATCATCAGGTACAGCCAGACACTTTTTAATGTTGTACAGCAGAGGAGAGGGTTGGTGGTTTTTTTCTTTTTCTTTTCCCTTATATGAACCAAGCAAATATGGACAAGTCTCTGTCACTTGTTTGCAGCAGGCTATGGAACAATAACACTTCCCTGCTGGCTGATCTTAACTCTTCCTGGAGATTGTTCTGACAAACATTTCCTGGACATCCTCGTCACTGTGGAAACCAGAAAGTAAGCTGGGAGAAGAATTGAGAAAACTGAAAGGCATTTCTTTGTTTAGTTCTGTTGGAAACGTTGACTCATAAGTTTTGCATTGAAGCATGATCTATAGAACGGCACCCTATGTCGTTTCTTATCCTTTGCTATCGTGTTACCCCCATGAGAACAGAATAAGGATTCACTGGTACAGCGACGCTGACATGAAGTGCTTTTAGTTAGAAACCCTGGAGCCATGAAGCAGAGAGGCAGATTCGTTTAAGGAGGGAAATGTGGACGCTTACTTTGAATTCTGACAGTGAAGTGATTTTCTGAAGGATTGTCTTTTCTGTAGCCATATGAAGCAGATTTGCAGAGAGCAACCCTGTGGTCCTAGCCGCAAAAGCAACAGCGTACTTCTGCATGTGAAGACAGGCACTGGCAGATTGAGAGGATCAATGGTCAAGAAGGCAATTTCTGGACATGCTGTAGAGGGAAGTGAGGGGCGGATGGGGCTTGTCAACCTGAGAAGGCAGCTCATCAAGGAGAAAGTAAACGCTGATGCTAAACCTCCTTTGCCTTGCAGCTATACTCATTCAGGCTTTGGGTGTAAAACATCTTCAGGAGTATGGATGGAATCTTAACCCAATTTACCTGGTAAAGGTAAAGGGACCCCTGACCATTAAGTCCAGCCGTGGACAACTCTGGGGTTGCGGTGCTCATCTCGCTTTACTGGCCGAGGGAGCCAACGTTTGTCCACAGACAGCTTCCGGGTCCTGTAGCCAGCAGGACTAAGCCGCTTCTGGCGAACCAGAGCAGCGCACAGAAACGCTGTTTATCTTCCCGCCAGAGCTTTACCTATTTATCTACTTGCAGTTTGATGTGCTTTCGATTTAAATTGAATTTATTGCTGAGTAGCTGTGGTCTAAACCAGAGCCTAGGGCTTGCCGATCAGAAGGTCGGCGGTTCGAATCCTCACGAAGGGGTGAGCTCCTGTTGTTCGGTCCCTGCTCCTGCCAACCTAGCAGTTCAAAAGCACGTCAAAGTGCAAGTAGATAAATAGGTACTGCTCCGGCGGGAAGGTAAACGGCATTTCCATGCGCTGCTCTGGTTCGCCAGGAGCGGATTAGTCATGCTGGCCACATGATCCGGAAGCTGTACGCCGGCTCCCTTGGCCAGTAAAGTGAGATGAGCGCCGCAACCCCAGAGTCGTCCGCGACTGGACCTAATGGTCAGGGGTCCCTTTACCTTTAGGCATGGTTAGGAATGGATTTCTGGTTAGCCTGGTAATGTATATAGATTGTCTTGTTTTTATTATCAGCTGTTAGTGAAAGAAGTGGCACAGATGTGGCAATGACATTTTCTACTGCATGGCAAACCGTGTGTCCATGTATTTTTGTGTTTATGGCTTTTACAAAAAACAACAAGCCTGAGCTACAAAATTCAGCTTTACTAACCCGCTTCCTCTAATCATGGCAGGAAACAGGATTAGAAAAGCAACAAGGAATGTTAATGGCTATTGTCCTCACCTCAGTTACACATAATTCAAGAGAATACACCTTTCAGTATTACAACAGGTAACTCATTGAAATGAGTTGTGCAGTCATAATGACCTGGTTTGATTATTATTATTTTACAATTAAAGAATTTTGCACCGATAAATATAGCTAACACTCACATGAAACCTGACTGGCTCACAAACGACTGTCTGCAAGTGAGCAAACAGGGCTCAGTTTGAGTGCAAGCTCAATTATTGCAAAAATCGCCACCATCTCTACTTAAGAGAAATACTCCAACTGTAGTAGATTTTGATAGTACAGTACTAACTAAGGTACAGTGGTACCTCAGGTTACAGATGCTTCAGGTTACAGACTCCGCTAACCCAGAAATAGTACCTCGGGTTAAGAACTTTGCTTCAGGACGAGAACAGAAATTGTGCTCTGGTGGCGCGGCGGCAGCGGGGGGCCCCATTAGCTAAAGTGGTACCTCTTGTTAAGAACAGTTTCAGGTTAAGAACAGACCTCCACAACGAATTAAGTACTTAACCCGAGGTACCACTGTATTCCACATTAAGCATTAAGGAACGAAACTATTCAGCCACTTTGCATTTTTTTCATCTTGGTTATAAAATGACTGCTTCCTGTTTAGAAGCCGGGAGGTTGAAAAGGTCAGCCTGGGAAACTGAAACCTAGTTCTTAGTTACCAGAACCTGAAGAAAATGTAAATTTGCTGCCTCAGATTTAGCTGCCTTAGTACACTACTCAGGGCAGGGAATTGAATGGGTGAGGAAGTACTGGTAATCCTACAAACACTTACCGTATTTTTCGCCCTATAGGACGCACTTTCCCCCCTCCAAAAATGAAGGGGAAATATGTGTGCATCCTATGGGGCGAATGAGCCTGGAGAGCGAGAGGGGTCGGTGCGCACCGACCCCTCTCGCTCTCCAGGCTTCAGGAAGCTATCCGCTAGCCATGGGAGACGAAGCTCTCCCACGGCTAGCGGAGAGCTTACCTGCACCCAGAAGCTTGGGGGGCACTGAGTTCAGCACGCCCCAAGCTTCGGGCTTCGCGCAGCGCTTCGCTAGCTGTGGGAGAGCCGTGCGAAGTCACACGGCTCTCCCACGGCTAGTGGATAGCAGCCTGTTCTGGGGGCTGGGGTTGGGGGAAGCCTGGGCTTCCCCCGCCCCAGCCCTGCACCTGGGGGGGAAAAATAATTTTTTTTCTTTATTTCTCCCCCAAAAAACTAGGTGCGTCCTATGGGCCAGTGCGTCCTATGGGGCGAAAAATACAGTACTTGGAACTAAGTTGCAAAGTGTTAACTAACACAGTTAATTTATTCACAGACACAGTTACAGACCCTAGACCCCACAGAGTCCCTCCCTCCTGCTGAAATTAGTCTTATAAGTAGTATTCTATTAATACAGTGCTTTTGTGAAGCCCACAATTGCATCTGGATTGAAAATGGGTCCACAAACCCCAAAAGGTCATAACCGCTCCTAGTGGTGCACCAATAAAACTGCTAGCACGTTTGCAAAGCTAAGCAGGGTCCAGTATGATTTCAAATCGGGACAGCATGTTGACTTTCCTGCATCGCAGGGGGTTGGACTAGATGACCCTTGGGGTCCCTTCCAACTCTACAATTCTATGGTTCTATACAGAGGGCTGCTTAGAAGAGACAGCTGGGAAAAACAGATTTCCACTTGGTGGCAGCTGTGAGGACCACACAGGACTCTCTCTCTTAGCAACACTCTCTGTCTTGGTGCAGGATACAACCCTTGCCATATTGGGATGGAGGCTACAAATCTCCTAAACAATCATTTTTTATATTACTGTATTTCACAAACGAAGCCACTTTTTGATACCACCATTTATCCATGGTGGCTCACAAGCAAGTACATTAAAAACAGCAACATAACTATAAAACATCAAAACAGGAGGAAATTCTTTTTTATGTTGTATAAGGATGAAAATATGATCTGTAAATATAAAACTGGGGGGGGACCCCATAAACAGGATAAAATTAATTCTGTCAATGCGGCATGAACTCATGTATTTAACCTCTGCTATGTGTTTGATGGTGGGATGTTCTCCAAGCCCACTGTGTCCTGTGCACAACCCTTTTCTGACTCCTGAAGTCTCAGTGATACCCATACGTCACAAAATGCAAACTATTCAGCCGTCTGCAACAATTTCTGATGAAGCGGAATCCCCTTTTTTTTCATTAAAAGGGAACATGCTCATTTAATTAGAATGCTCAGTTGTCATACAGAAATACCACCTCACATTCCACACAATTACCTTGTATATTTAATTGGACGCAAGCTGTGACTATGTTCTCTCACTCTGCTTATTTGAAATGGTTTTAATTTAGTGTCGTGCTTTGCAGCAGTCGGGATGAATGTGAGAAGAGGGTGCCTTTGCAGTGGTGGACCAGGAAGGCTCCCTTGGTGCCAGCATAATCTTTCGGGCCAGGTGAAGAAGTTTCACCCCTCAGGGGCATTTCTTGTGGTAAGCCCTTGCTGCACTGTACTTCTTTCCATAATAAGGGTTTAGTCTCCATGCTTTCAAGTATTGAGGGCAGTGCAGGGAAAGGAGAAAAGATCTTGTTTGAATCACCTTCAGTGTTTAAGAAATACCGTATTTTTCGCCCTATAGGACGCACTTTTCCCCCTCTAAAAATGAAGGGGAAATGTGTGTGCGTCCTATGGGGCGAATGCAGGCTTTCGCTGAAGCCTAGAGAGCGAGAGGGCTCAGTGCGCACCGACCCCTCTCGCTCTCCAGGCTTCAGGAAGCTCTCCGCAAGCCGTGGGAGCCTGGTGCGAAGTCCGACCCAAGTCCAAGGCTTCCGGAGTCCAAGGCGAAGTCCAAGGCTTCTAGAGAACTAACTGCATCCCGAAGCCCGGGGCGCGGTGAGTAGCGCGCCCCAGGCTTCGGGCAGATATCCGCAAACCTGGGGAGACTGCCGTGACTCCCCGCCGGGCTCCCTAGGCTTGCGGATAGCAGCTTGTTCTGGGGGCTGGGGAAGCTCAGGCTTCCCCCGCCCCAGCCCCGCGCCTGGGGGGAAATATTTTTTTTTCTTTATTCACCCCCCAAAAAACTAGGTACGCCCTATGGGGCGAAAAATACAGTATTCTATGTATTGAAATTTCATTTTGTAAAGTCACTTTGAGTCTCCTCTGCCCCCACCTCCATTTTTTTTTTTTTTAAAAGTCAGGATAGTGACATCCTTTGAATTTCCTGCTTCAGATACTGAAGTGTTGTGGTTTGTCTCTGACTCGGTCTATCCACATTGCAAAAAATTAATTTCAGTTCTACCTTTCTAGATAGTTTCCTTCAGAATCTGCCTGCTGCTTTTACTAGTTTCTCAGCGAATCTGAATCTTGAAACTGCAGAGACGTATTTTCAGAACCTCTTAGAGGTTTGTTTTTAAATGAGAATCAACTGCATTTGCTTACCAGTTTAATGGGTCATGTAGGCATGTATCTATTAACATACCCATGCTGTGTACCTTGTATCTAAACCAAAGTAAGCTACTACAGTTTTATCTGGTGCACATCTTCTCATATGGCACAATTATTCTCAAATAGGAAAGAACAGAGCAGAAAATAGTAGCAAGGCAAGGAATGTGGCTGATTATATTATAGAAATGTGAAATTCAACCAGGGCCATTCCACCTCTCTCCTTTCTACAAACTTCACTTGCTTTCTCATGTGTGAATATTTTCTTCATCCTCCCGCCTTTTTCAGCCAGTGTCTCATCTAAAACTTCCTCTGAGGTTAAGTATTTAGAGAATCGCTGGATGCAACACTTCAAAAATGTAAGAAGGCAGATAAAGCAACGATGAAAGCTGTAACGTTCTGCAAGATTCAATTCTACAAGGCCACTACCAAATAATTTATTTTCAAAATAAAAGTTGCATTGGTTTACTTCTAATGATTAAAAATCTGCATCATAATGGAGATTATGTAGTCCAGGTGATAATCAGGGTTCACACATCTTGTTCTTTCAAATGCAAGTGTACAAGTAGCATGAACTACAGGAGACACTGCTGATATGTCCTTCGGGTTTATTATTTCGTGGAAAAGCAGCAGCATCCTTACATCTCACATCAGCCAGAAAAGAGAGACAAGACCGTCAGGTTCCTAGCTAAGTAGCATTTATGATGCTTAACTTTGTAATAGCTGTAGGGCTTGAAACAGGGCCTTGCAGAAATTTCTACAGGGAATTCTGTAACTGTGTCACCACTGAAGGTGGACTCAAAGCGAGAAGACCTTAGAACACTGTATCTTTTCCTCCAAGCCACTCTAACACACATAACTGAAGGAATTGCTGAGAACTTTGCAGAGATCAGATTCAAACACGGTTTAGAGATCTCTTGGGAAAATGGGAGAGAAACCCTTGAAATCAAGATGGGGGGGGGAATCTATGCTCATGTTCATAAATCAACTTTTCCACTGGACTGATGCTTAAATACACAGCACATTGCGACGAGAGTTTAGATTGCACGTGTCCTTGCAAATACCATTGTAAAAAAATAGCAGAGGTGGGAGGAAACTCCTCTCTCTGATCTCTCTGAATAGGCTGCGTCAGCTCAGCATGTATGGCAAGCAGCATCTCATGAGGTTGGGAAACCAGAAGGGGCAGAGCTGCAGAGTCAGAGGTCTGGAGAAGATGGATAGGAATAATACGATCCATTTTCCTACAAAGAGAGAGCGAGAGACAGAGATGAAATGGCACAGTGAATACACATGTAAAACACAAATCAAATCTTCCTAAATCTCGCTGAATGAAGAGTTTCTCTCATCCCATTAAAAATCTGTCCCAGAATTGGGCAATCTTCCCTTCCTTTCAAGGAACATTTTCTCCAAGGGAATCTGTGGAAGTGGACATGTCAGCCATTTGCAGGCCCACCACTCTGACTCTGAAGGTAGCTACATCCCAAATTTTCTCTCAAGGATCTTGAACCCCCACAAAAACTTCACTAACTCACACAAGGAGGGGAACCTTTTGAAAGAGTGGATCTACAGTCGTACCTTGGTTGTTGAACGCCTCGATACTTGGATGTTTTAGTTCCCGAGCGCCGCAAACCTGGGAGTGTTCCAGTTTGTGAACGTTTTTGGAAGCCGAACATCCGACGCGGCTTCCGATTGGCTGCAGGAAGCTCCTGCAGCCAATCAGAAGCCGTGCCTTGGTTTTTGAATTGTTCTGGGAGTCGAATCAGACCGGTCCCACCACCACCCTTCTAAGAAAACCCCACCCACCCTCCCACTATATAGAAGGGTCTGGTGATTTCTGTGTCAGTGCATCTGAAGAAGTGTGCATGCACATGAAAGCAAAACTTAGTTGGTCTCTAAGGTGCTACTGGACATTTTTTTATTTTTTTGTAATTTTTTGTATTATCATACAGTCATTCTCATGTTTGTAACAAAGATAATAATCTAAACGTTGAAAAAAGTAACATAGGAATTGACCTACCAAACAATACAGTGTAATCTGCTGGAGGCTGGCTTATAAATGTTTCCCACACAAACTTTATGGTAGACTTGCAAAAAATCATGAGATTGTGAGTAAGGAAGCCCACAAACTTAGTTTAGGCAAACTTGGAAGGAAAGAACTAGGAGATGGAACAAGTTAAAGAGTGGGGGAAGATTTTCTCTTGGCGTACAACTTTAAGGAGTCTATTGCACAAACCAGAAGCTAGGCTTTTAGAGGACATGCGCCTTATAACAGATAAGCTGCTTCATGGCTATCGGGTGCTTTTCTTCCCCCAGTCCCCAGTGTACTGCAGATCATGCTCTCTTCCACAATCTTTTGAAAGTGAGGACTTAACTCAAGATGATCTAAGTACCACATATGTCAAACATTTCATGATAAGCATTCCTCTTTGTTCCATATACTAGCTGCTGCCTGTGGGCTTCTCAGAACTGCACAACACCTAAAACAATATTCACTTCAGTTTTACCAAGGTAGTGTGGCTGAAGCTCTTTCCGTTAGAGAAAATGCTTCAAGCCTTTCACAGATTCAGTCAGTTTCCAAGCTTTTTCTTGTTTCCAAAGCAATCCCCTCAGATTTCTTTTAAATCGGGAAAGCTCCCCCACCCCCCGGTTTGCTGTATGCAGCTGCTTCCATACAAACTATAAACAGAAGCAAACACTCAGTAGTGCCTGAAGCCACCTACCCTAGTATCATATTCAAGAACAAACGGGGGGAAGTCAATTTGTTCGGGGGGAATGGCTGCGAACAACTGTTGGAGGCTTTCCACGTGGTGGATTTTGTCCTTTAGTCCCGAGACCGTAAAGGTTGTGAAAAACCACGTTGAAACCTAATAGACAAGAATGGGAAATAAATGTTACCAGAAAAACTGTCAATAACTGCCGAGTCTCAATCTTAACAATCTAGCAATTCCTTCACCATTTCAGCAGACAAAGGTAAAAGTGCCTGCACAATTCAGATTGCTAGTTTAGCAATGTTAATATAGCATTCTGTAAGACTACTGTTGTTGTTATTAGTAATTACTCACCCTTCACCCTAGGGGCAGGTATCTAAATGGCTTGGATGAAAAGCTTGAAAGAGCTAACCAATCCAAATGACAGTGGTCCTGATTCCTATCTTGCTACGTAATTAGTCAGCTCATGTTATAGAAGAAGCATGCAAAGGACTTGTACAAACTGATTATGCCCCATATTTTGGGATCCCACACATTCACTACAACCGAACCCACTACAATGTACAATTTCCCTGTTGAGTAGGGCATACTTCACCTTTGAGCGAAACGTTGGATGGACAAAGTACAGGGCCTTCAGATTTTTTTTGTACCTAGGTTAACAACAAGAGAAGTAAACGTCTCAAGTTTTAAATGAACATTTGCAGAAATCAAACAAGTTCTTAGCAATCTGCTCCATGTAAAAAAGGGCACTTGTTTCAACCCGCAACTTATTAATGTATGTGCAGCACTGACCTGAATTGTTTCTGTGGGAAAGCTCTACAGCGACAATGAGTAGTCTCATGACAGCTGACATGCTTTTTCATAAAGCCAAGGAAGCTTATTCTAGCAGCCCAAAGGTGCTGTGTCACACGAGTGACTGGGCATATTCTGAAACTAAGCCTCCCGTACTCATTGAACACACTGTGTCTCCATGCCCACTCCCTTTTAAAATAGTTTCGTGATGCTTTTTCATAGAATCATAGAGTTGGAAGAGACCACAAGGGCCATCGAGTCCAACCCCCTGCCAAGCAAGAAACACCATCAGAGCACTCCTGACATATGGTTGTCAAGCCTCTGCTTAGAGACCTCCAAAGTAGGAGACTCCACCACACTCCTTGGCAGCAAATTCCACTGTCGAACAGCTCTTACTGTCAGGAAGTTCTTCCTAATGTTTAGGTGGAATCTTCTTTCTTGTAGTTTGGATCCATTGCTCCGTGTCCGCTTCTCTGGAGCAGCAGAAAACAACCTTTCTCCCTCCTCTATATGACATCCTTTTATATATTTGAACATGGCTATCATATCACCCCTTAACCTCCTCTTCTCCAGGCTAAACATACCCAGCTCCCTTAGCCGTTCCTCATAAGGCATCGTTTCCAGGCCTTTGACCATTTTGGTTGCCCTCCTCTGGACACGTTCCAGTTTGTCAGTGTCCTTCTTGAACTGTGGTGCCCAGAACTGGACACAGTACTCCAGGTGAGGTCTGACCAGAGCAGAATACAGTGGCACTATTACTTCCCTTGATCTAGATGCCATACTCCTATTGATGCAGCCCAGAATTGCATTGGCCCTTTTAGCTGCCGCGTCACACTGTTGGCTCATGTCAAGCTTGCGGTCAACCAAGACTCCTAGATCCTTATCGCATGTACTGCTCACAAACCAGGTGTCACCCATCTTGTATTTGTGCCTTTTTGATCCAAAAGGGAAGTAAGGAGAAAGGCTTTGTGGCCTTTCCGAGTTATACTTACTTGGCATCGACAATGTCAGAGAGTTTTTTTAGGAAATCGGAATCTAGGTGATTGTAGATATTCGTGAGCGTGTGGAAATACACAATGACATATTCCTTCATTACAATGTGGTCCATTACATGAATGAAGTACAAGAGCGCCTGGAGAAAGAGAAAAGTCACAAATGTCAGATTTCAGCAGAGGACTGCAGCACCCATCCTTGCATGAGTAATACGGCTAAAAGCAGAGCAAACTTTAGGGGGAGCGAGGAAAAAGTTCTTTCAAACTTTTTGAATATGCAGCACTTACATATGAGAACAGATTCTCTCAAGAAAGAAAAAAGTGAACGCTTCACAATAAATTCTTCCCCAACAAAAGATGCCATTCCTTTCTCACCCAAAACAAGTGGTGAGCTCACAAATCCTGAGTTATCATGAACAAAGTGGTAGGCTTGAACCAGAAGCTCCAATTCCCCCTTATTTTATTTATTTATTAATTATTATTATTGAATTTATATACTGGCCTATACCTGGAGGTCTCAGAAAGATCAAAATATACAAAAACAAAAACATTAACCCAATAACCCCCCCTCCCCCCAAAAGAGCCACATTTTAAAAGGGTATAGGATGTTGATCAGGTCAACCAAAGGTCTGGTTAAAAATGGAACGTTTTGCCTGGCGCCTAAAGGTGTATAATGAAGGGGAGCCACTGCAGAGAAGGCCCCGTTCTCGTGTTGCCACCCTCTGAACCTCTTGAGGAGGGGCACATGAAGAAGGGCCTCAGAAGATGATCTCAGGGTCCGGGTAGGTTCATATGGAAAGAGGCGGTCCTTGAGGTATTGCAGTCGTGAGCTGTTTAAGGCTTTATATGTCAAAACCAGCACTTTGAATTGGGTCCAGAAACTAACTGGTAGCCAGTGCAGTCGGACCAGGATCGGTGTAATATGCTCAAACCGTCTTGCTCCAGTGAGCAAACTGGCTGCTCAACTCTCACTAGCTGAAGTTTCCGAACCGTCTTCAGAGGCAGCCCTACATATAACACAGCCTTAACCATGAAGTCTACTGGCCGGTCACTACCTGTGGAGAAATGTTTTGTATATGCCTGTTTATGTCTGCAAAAAGATCTGTCAATATACTAATGACAGCCAGTTCTATTGCCCTTTCCCATCTAACTTAGGTGAAGTAGTGGAAACGCCGGTGGAATTGTACTCCCAGTTAAAGACCAGGTCCACAGCTGGATATGTTGTTAGCCTGGCCTTATCGGATATGTTGATGTGTTTTGAATTGAAATGAATTGTCATGTGCTCTGGAAATCCTCTTAGGGGTGAAGAGCAGGATATAAATGTACAAAAGAATAAATAAATCTGTATCCAAAGAGAAATTTACTATTTAATCACCAATAATTTTTATGTTTGTTAGGATCTCACCTTCTCCATGTCTATTAGAGTTACAGGAATGTTCCTTCCAACCACTGCCATTACTGTACGACCACAGTTATCAACACCTACAAATAGAATGAAAATCAGAAACTTTTAAAGGTTAAGTTTAAAGCCCCCCCCCCCTTCTGTGAGCAGAAATAATGCTCAGCCTAAAATCTGGTAGCTCATAAACACATGGTTTTAGCAATGAGGGAGCAATACTATTAAATTAATTATTAGCTTTCACTTCATAGGGCACTGTTTCAAGGGCCACAGTTGTCTGGGACTGTAAAGGTCATGCTCCTTGTTTCAAGCCCTTTTCAGGTCAATGACCATCCTCTACTGAACGATTTATGACAATCTTGCATTACTTTTGCCATTGTTTGACTAAGCCAATTTACTTATGTGTACAAAATTAAAAATAATTATCAAAGGCTGGATTCTCCTGTACAGTGTAGCATTAAGACATGGAGACTTCCTTTTATCACATTATATCTTCACTACAATATATTCAAGAAGGAAGAGTTAAGGGGCAATTAGAATTTGCGACCTTGAACTCACCAGTTTGGTATAAAGCTTTAAGGGACGCAATATCAGACAGGTCTTCCGCTCTTGCTCGACAAAGCCAGCGATTGTAACTGGAAGGCAGCCACATAAGGTTTCAGAACTTGGACTGATCTGGTTGTCATGTTTAGCAATCAAAGACCACCTCCAGAGACATATTATTAGACAAATACAGCAAACAAACCTGTCATACTTCTCACATGATGTTATACTCTGTCAGAATCCAAAAGGAAAACGCAAGTGGAGCAGTGTGGGATTAAGTTGGAAATAATTAAACAAAGGGGGATGCGGGTGGCGCTGTGGGTTAAACCACAGAGCCTAGGGCTTGCCGATCAGAAGGTCGGCAATTCGAATCCCCGCAACGGGGTGAGCTCCCGTTGTTCGGTCCCTGCTCCTGCCAACCTAGCAGTTCAAAAGCACGTCAAAGTGCAAGTAGATAAATAGGTACCACTCCGGCTGGAAGGTAAACGGCATTTCCGTGCGCTGCTCTGGTTCGCCAGAAGCGGCTTAGTCATGCTGGCCACATGACCCGGAAGCTGTACGCCGGCTCCCTCGGCCAATAAAGCGAGATGAGCGCCACAACCCCAGAGTCGGCCACGACTGGACCTAATGGTCAGGGGTCCCTCTACCTTTTTAATTAAACAAAAATAAGCAGCTGAGCTGCCATCCTTCCATTGAATAGCACCGAAGCTATGTCTAAAGCCCCCAGCACAAGAGGAAGTGTTCCCCATGTTTCTAAATCTGCTAAAATACACCATGCATAGTGTAGCAGCTCCCAGGCATATAGCACTGAAGTTCAAAACACAATGAATCACCAACAGGAATAGTCATCTGCAATAACTTCTTACTTTCTCTGATGCTGCTTTTGTAGTGCTGCCTCCGAGAGCTGCCCTTGAAGGATAAGACGCCTCTGTTTATCAACATCTCCCTCCATGCGGGCAAAAGCATGGGAACCAATAAATGAAAAGTCTGCTTCCAGGCCTTCCTCATCAGAATTATCTGCAAAAGATGTGCAAGAACAATGAAGTAACTGTCCAAAGTGGAGCCACAATACAAGTCCAGTCCAGGAAAACAATGAGACTTACGGACAGGAGATAGAAGGAGATTATATTGCACTGCATTATGAGTTCATCAGTATCTCTTTCTGCAAAGCAAGCAGGGTGGAAGAAGTGCGGCACTCAGAGTTCACCATATGGCAAGCATCAAGTATGTCAGCTAGGCGTAATTGTTCAGAGCCAAAACAGAACACTGAACATGTGAGTGCACTTTCTTGGAGATAGGAGGCATTCTGTGAAGTCTTAGCCAAGCCTTAATTACAGAACTTGCATGTATATATTAAGAAAGCCCAGGGAAGGTGGAACCTGGAGGCAGCCCAGCACTACCTTATGAAAGCTGACATTTGGATAGGACTGGAACCATCATGACAATGTGCTCCTAATCCAGAGATGGTCGATTCCCTGATCATCCACCAAAGCAATCAGGGCAGTTTCTGCTCCAAAGCCAGATTGGGATGGATATAAATAACTTCTGCCAGGAGGTTGATGAGCCACCAACTGCGTCTGGACCAGACGTAATAATGGTATAATGGAATTTCCAGCCATGGAAATCTGATGAAGCTACTGTCATGGAAGAAGCAAGACTGCTCTTCTAAGACTTCATGGACAGCCTTTCACACACAGCTTTGTGCTGGTTTTTACTCACAAGGTTTCCAAGCTGTATAAATAGATCTCTGCCATGGATGTCTATTTCACATTTCTTTTTTAAAATCCACCTTCTGGTTTTTGTGTTGTTTTTAACCATTTTTAGTTGTTTCATTATTGTTTTGTACTTGATATGTGTTTGTGTGCATACCTAAGGTGATGTATAAGAACAACAAGTGATGTATGTTCTGAGACTGCCCTCTTCCTCCTCTTCAGTGGTAACTGACTGGTGTCAGGCATATGGATCTTGATGGCAGAGAAGAGATAAAGATCAGCAGGAGGTCAGTCAAGCCCTGCATCTAAAGCTCCAGTCTCCCACCAAAAATCCAGCTCTCTTGGCAAACAGGAGAGGAAAACTGGATGAGGACTCTGCCCACAGCAATGAGGAGAGGAAATTCAGGCCAAGTTGTGCCTCTGAACACTGATGGAAGGAGTCACTTTGCATGAGATGCCTTCCTCTGACAAGGAATGACTGGGTCTGCTTTTATGGGGAAATAATAAAATACTGTATTTCCAGGGGGTTTCCCCTCCACGGAAGATCTGAAAGCTTTAAGTGTGCTATACACTTACACAGATCCAGAGCCACAGAAGATTTGCTCCCAGACATGAGAAGCTAAAACAGGATTAGCTCCTGCCCTTTGACTCTATCTTATATCAGCTTCACAGACAATTCGCTTGACCTTGTTCTCACCCATTCAGCTACAAATGGAAAAGCAGTTATAGTTTGAATACCTATCTCTCCCCATGCCTTGAGGATAACTACATTAGCTCTGTAGATGATGTTTATCCTAACTCTGCAGAAGACTCTCTGGACACACTCTGCAAACTCACCCTCAGAAACACCTGGCTTTTCACTAATTCTGATCTGACGCTCTGGCACGACTGGCTCCCCTTCAGCATTGCCAATATCAACAGGAAGGAAAGGCAAGGACTTTTTCTCCTCTTCTAGAGACCTTGGGAAATACAGAGGCAGCAACTTCTGATAAGTATCCTGGAAAAAAGGGAAAGTTTGAGAATGCTTTAGATCTCTAGTTTTCAAGGCAGGTTGAAAACAGGTCACAAAGATAATTAAATGCCCCCCTAGTATTCTTTTGCATGGTAGATCATGATAGCACCACACTGACTGGTTAGTCAAGATCTACAGTTCTCCCACATGTGGAACAAAGTTGCAACCTCCATCGTTTTTCTTTCAACATCTGACATATGCAGAAAGGTGAGGTTGTAGAGAATAAGTTTTAATACAAGTTTGAAACAATAAATCTATTCACTTATCTCCATCCTATCCTTATGCCCTAATGCTAGGGATGGGGAGCCTGTGGATTTGATGTGCAGTAGAGTCCAATAGATGGATCCCTACAAGCCTTTCATCCTTTTCTTATAGCTTCCTGAAGCCTGGAGAGCAAGAGGGGTCGGTGCGCACTGACCCCTCTCGCTCTCCAGGCTTCAGCGAAAGCCTGCATTCGCCCCATAGGACGCACCCAGATTTCCCCTTCATTTTTGGAGGGGGAAAAGTGCGTCTTATAGGGCGAAAAATACGGTAATCGAATCACTGGAGTGGAGAGCAGTAAATAGAGATCAAGGCACAAGGGTTTTGGGACTGGGTTAGCTCAGCAGCACAGCAATGCCTACAGACGTAAACAGAGTACTTTACATACCTCTTCAAGTTCAGACACTGCAAACACCACTTTTTCAAGAGTTTCCCCATGAACCTCTAAAAATCGCCGGACGGTTCCTGCAATGGAGGGGGGGGGAGGAAGAAAAAGAAATCAACCCATAGAGTCAGCAAAACGAGAAGAAACAGACACCCACGTTGATGGAAAATATAGGACTACCCTTTTCTATGCCATTATTTAATGTTATTAATTGATCTAATTTAATTAGTTATTTTGCCCATCCTTGTTGACCACATATACTGTGGTGGTGTTTGGGTTTCCTGACAATAATAGCTTTGGGTTTGGGATTTCGTTTTCTCAGTCTCAATGAATGCCTTTCCCAGAAGAATGCTGTACATAGGAAAACAAGTACCTACAGCTCTTAGTGAAACTTGCGTGAAAGTCCTTTACGACTCCTTCATTTTACTTCACCACAAGGGCTGTTGTAAAACATTGGAACTGTTTTCTCTAACTGAAAAGACAGTTGCACTTTTCAATGTAAGGACAGCCGGTTGCAACTTAGTCTTAAGGGAAGTGGAGCAGGGGATTGGAGAGGGCCTTTGCAGTCAGAATATTGCAATATAGTCCCCAATTCAGTAATTATGTTTTGAATTGGGCTGTAGGGAGTTCAACCACAATTGCCATCTTTCTCAACCTACTTCAATGTAGCACCACATCAAGACAGCTGTGCCACCAACGGCAACACCAAGGGCAGACTGCATTCCTAGCAACCAAAAGGGGAAGTCACCCGCCTCACTGTTTTACTAGTTCCTCAAATTTTAACTTGCATATTCTTATAGTTTCTACATTATGACAACTTATGTCATGGGTAGGCAAACTAAGGCCAGGGGGCTGTATCTGGCCAAATCGCCTTCTAAATTTGGCCCACGGACAGTCTGGGAATCAGCGTGTTTTTACATGAGTAGAATGTGTGCTTTTATTTAAAATGCATCTCTGGGTTATTTGTTGGGCATAGGAATTCATTCATCCCCTCCCCCAAAAATAGTCCGGTCCCCCACAAGGTCTAAGGGACAGTGGACTGGCCCCCTGCTAAAAAGTTTGCTGACCCCTGACTTAAGTGAAAGCTTTGCAACTGAAGACCTAAGGTGGCTTAGATTAACATGTATTTTCCTATGAACCCTTTGCCACAACCCTCTAGTCCCAATATTCAACTGTAACTAAGCCTAAGTATACATAACCAAAATAATCACAAATCCTGCTCTGTCGTTCTTAGCAAAGCACAATGCATGTAGATGAAGCTGTATATCCAGCAAAGATCCTTTCAAGGCTACTTACGCAGTGCTATGTGGGTAGCATCCACTAAAGGGTAACCTCGTTTCACCGTGTTTATCACACAGAATCCGACTGAGGACATCGCTTGCTCCCTGCAGCCAGAAGGGTAATGAAAAGCGTAAGCATCACAAACAAATCAATGCAACTGATGTCATAGCAGGATCATGTCAGCTTATTCTGTATGAATAGGCTGCATGTGTTGTAGTGGTCCAACAGTGGTCATTATAATTACCGGAGCAACACCAAATTTAGAATCAAATAGTAAAAAGGATTCACAGAGATGGCTTAATCCATAATAGGTGCCCATGACTAACATGATTATGGATGTTTATACTTTTGCTTCCTACTGTGGATAGATTTTGCTCTCCAAAAGCTTTTAAGAGCGGGAAGAGATTCTATTGAAATTTTCACAAAACCCCCACTGCTCCTAATAGCTGTTATAACAACTCTTGACAAAGGAGGTTTAAGTGTTTTCTGTATCATTGGATGTTTTATGTTTGCTGGTTACTTCTTAAGACATGGTTTTCAGATCACAAGCAGGAGCTATAGTGTAAACTATGCCAAAAGATGTGAAGATTGGATCACATTTTACTGTTTCAAAGAGCATACACAGTTTAGACAAAGATGATGTAGCCCTAGAGCTCGCCTAGGTCTACAACTGAGGAGGCTGTAACGCCGAAGGTCCCATACCTCCCAACATGTAATTTTGCACACAAACCCATAGTTTTAGATGTGAGACACCTAACAAACCAATAGTCTGCACAGGACAAGAAACACAGTGCTTGTGATCTTAAACAAATTTTCAGACATCGGGCAAGACAAAAAACCACATAGAGCTGCCACCATTCACCACTATCCCACCTCACAAACATAAAATCCACATGAAGACACCGTAGAAGTCTGCAAAACATGTCTGGGGTTATATCAGATAGGAGATGTGTTAAGCAGGTTAGCAATGGAAAAGATGGTGAAAAGGAAACAGTAGAATTTTTTAGTAAATGATGTCAGTTTGCATCCTTAATCTAATAGTCATTCTCTGAACTGATCCTCAGTTGCAATTTATTATGTTATTTATTTACAGACCACTTATAAACACCATCTCCAGCTCCTCAAAAGATTCCATCAATGGTGTCTGAAAAATTTCACACTTCACTTGGGAAGACAGGCGAACTAATGTCAGTGTACTGGAAGAAGCAAAGATCACCAGTGGCGAAGCGATGATTCTTCAACATCAACTTTGTCGGACTGGTCATGTTGTGTGGATGCCCAAGTATCGTCTTCCAAAGCAACTACTCTATTCTGAACTCAAAAATGGAAAACGTAATGCTGGTGGTCAGCAAAAGAGGTTTAAAGACTCTCTCAAGGCAAATCTAAAAAAAAAAGTAGTATAAACACCAACAACTGGGAAACACTGGCCTGTGAGCACTCCAGTTGGAGAACAGACTTTACCAAAGGTGTCATGGGCTTTGAAGATGCTCGAACTCAGGACGAAAGGGAGAAATGTGCTAAGAAGAAGGCATGCTTGGAAGGCACCCTCACTGTGATCAACTCCCGCCCGGAAACCTATGTCCCACTGTGGAAGGAGGTGTGGATCCAGAATTGGCCTCCACAGTCACGTAGACTCACTGCTATAAGCCTGTTCATGGAAGACAATCTTACTCGTCTACGAGTGATCGCCAAAGAAGAATTTATACTTAACAAGTACTTTTGTAATAATAGCAATAGCAACAACAACAATAATAATGATACTTTTATTATTTATAATCTGCCCATCTGGTTGGGTTGCTCCAGCTACTCTGGGTGACTTTGAACCCATATAAAAACATAAAACCAGGCTTTCCAATGCATTCTGTTCCTTGGAATGGCATGTAGCGCTTCTCATCATCTACCCCCATTACTAAGCAACTAATATTGGAATGTGGGGAATGGAAGAATCTAAAGCACGTGGAAAATATATGTTTGGATGAAGAGAGCCAGGGGATTAGATGTTGACATGTATACTTTCACAAGCTATCCAAGATGTTAAGGTATGATAGATAAGTTTTTAAAACTTATTTCTTTACACTAGATATAGGTAGGTAGCTGTGTTAGTCTGCCGTAGTCGAAACAAAATAAAAAAAATTCCTTCCAGTAGTACCTTAGAGACCAACTAAGTTTGTTATTGGTATGAGCTTTTCGTGTGCATGCACACTTCTTCAGATACCTTTAGACTAGTTACACATGCCAAAATTTTACATGCACTGTTGCTGTGTTTGTGTATGTGTGTGTGTTTCACAAGGTACTTGCCTGTCACAAGCAGACACATGCTTACTTTGCAAGTTGCAGAATGTTGCGATAGCAGCTGTACAGGGAGCTTTCTGCTGCTGTCCGGTATCGACTTTTGTATTTGGGACCCACAGTGTGAATGATGAAACGGGCAGCTAGATTAAATCCTTTTGTCAGCTTTGCTTCTCCTGTCCGGCAGCCTATAGGAAAACAAAGCAGGATGAGCTAAGTAATATTGAAGCAATTGAAATATAAGGATTTTAGGCTTAGCATAGAGATCCTCTTTTATGGATGGATTTGGGAACACACAACAGCTCTCCATATTATATCCAAGCTTCCTGCCAAACCTAGGTAAGAGTAAAAAGCAGCATGCACAGCTGTGTAGCTGGGCACTGAGAAGTCTCAGTTAGACATAGAGATAAGCCATGGTTTGTTGACAGAACAAGTCGGTGCAAGCCTTGGGTTCACACAACCCTACACTAGTGCAGGTAGAGGGGGAGGCGGAAGAGGAATCTGGAAGCTTTTGCTTCCATTTTTATTTTTAACTACCTGCAACTTAGTTTTGTCCAAATCTGACAGACCAACTTTATAAGCAATGGTCTGAGGCTGACCTATTCTGGCTGACCTATTCACAGCATGTGTTGCAATATTTTACAAAGATCTGCCGTGAATGTTTTTCATGATTTATTCATATCATCACCTATTCATTCTTGCATCGCTAATGGTCATTTTAAAGAAATTTATTACCTTGCTTATTTTATGAGGAAGTTCAGCTGTGCAATTTGTAATTTGAAGAGGGGGTGGGGGAAGGGGAGGAGGAGAGAGACATACTTTGAATTCAGAAGCTATTCTCTAAATCAGATATTGTTGTAGGGGAAGAGTTTGGTTAGCCCTGTAAAATGGTACAGTAGTACACACAATGCACGCAACAGTCGTTGATGTAGTTTATTTCTAATTTACTCATGTTGTGGTTTTCTATATGTAAACTCTTGGTACAGAATTGGGCTGCAAGTTTAATTCTTCCTCAGATATGTTTTTTTTTTAAACCTGAAACATTTATCAATGACCAAATTCTTTGTTCAAAAAATCATCCCTCCAAATATTTGCTTCCATTACACCCAATTGTGTTTTTATTAAATTAATTAGAAAGCTCAGTAAGAGGGCTCAGAATTAATTTCATATTTGTTGACAGTTGGAATAATTTTATACACAGCAAAGACAGCTCCATCCATCAAAGACCGGTATAATGAAGTAAGCAAATATGCACCAGTGACAAAATTAACTTAATATATCAGATTTAAAGAACAAAGTTAGAGACACTCTTGGTTACTTTGTAGAGTTATGTTTATCAGCTTCTAATTTTATTGTATTGTTACTTTTTATCACCTTTGTAGCTGATAAACTGAATTGTTACTATATAAGATAAAAATATGAAAAATTAATTTAAAAATATGCCAAATGTCTGTTTACTCTTTGTCTTACACATATGTAGCATGATCATTATGACAGACACATTTTAACTTTACAGCCTAGTTTGTTCATGGATTTTTTTTTACTGTGAAATGAACTTTTAAAACCAAAGTGCAGTCCCCTTTTTGGTTCAAGCTGAACGTTTTGAAGTCAATTGGATTAACTTTACTATGCTTACCTTTGAGCTTCTGTAGCTCAGCCCTCAGGTCAGGTCCCGCATGGGTGCAGATACTTCAGAAACTGGGTTCTTGTCCGTGAGAGACTCATTGCTGGTGTTCACTATGGCTGTGCAGTTCAGCAGTGCCACATCCCCCCTCCTGAGGAAAAATCACCACCATTCAGCAGGCGGCACGGAAGAAAATAGAAGCACAACACACAGACACAGGAAGCTCCTCAGAGCTGTGACATTATTATTGCTGCATGGCTATAAAAGAGAACATGCTTCATTAAGTTTTTCCCTTCAGCTTTCTCCTGATATGTATTAAGAAGGCAGTAATAGAAGAATTTATATTTACGTCTCTGGGTGTCTGAGTGCTCATGTTAGTCATGGAGTGCACAGTATGCCAATTTATCACTTTTCAGGAATTGAATGCAATGGAAAGACATAACCTCATTTTCAATACAGTGGAACCTCGGTTTTCGAAAGTAATCCATTCTGGAAGACCGTTCGACTTTTGAAATGTTCAAAAACCAGGGATCAATGGGCAGTCGGCAGAATCCATTGAAAAATGGATAAACGCACCTCGGAAGCCAATTACTTCTGGGTTTTCGACGTTCGGCTTCTCAACTGTTCGGCTTCTGAGATGTTCAAAAACTGAGGTTCCACTGTGCTTACAAGTTAAGAGTTATGTAACCGTACAAAGGGAAATTACAGAAGAGTTATCTGAACATCTTGCTCATTGAATTCAAAGGTTTAATACCAACTCTACACCAGGGATGGGGAATCTGTAGCCTTCCAGATGTTGTAGGGCAGAAACTCCTATCAGGCCTAGCAAGCATGGAGAGTTGTCAGGAATGAAGGAACTGTAGTCCTAAAACATCTGGAGGGCCATAGGTTCCTCTACCTCTGCTTTGTGCTCATTATTAGTACAGACTATACAGTTAAGAAGATTCAGGGCATTATACATCTATAGAACAGCAGAAATTTATATGCAAGTGATATCCACGTGACTTCATAACTGAATATTTTTAAGAAGAGGCTTTCACTACACTTGGTTCAGAATGCAGCAGCAAGGATGTTAACAGGCGCATGTCTATGGGATCATGTTACACCTATCTTGCAATATCGCCAGTGACTGACAATCTGCTTCTGGGCACAATTCAAAGTACTGGTGATGACCTTTAAAGCCCTAAATGACTTAGACCTGGGGCTGCCTCCTCCTATACCATTCACCCCACTCCTAAAATCAAAATCTGGTGCCTTTCTCTGCATCCCACATATGACAAGGCAAAGGTCATGGCTACAAGAGATACAGCCTTTTTCAGGGGCTGCACCAATATTGTCATCTCCAGTGCAGATGACTTCTTCTCTGGTCATTTTTAACCAGCTTGTAAATACTGTACATTTTTATTCTGGCAGGTTTATCCATTTATTTTTATTAAACTTCTATGTGGTCTTTAGGACAAAATCTCACAAAGGGTGTACAATGAAGAAAATACATCAAATGAAAATGGGGAAAAGTCTCATTATAAACAACCAGCAATGACTACAACCAGCAATGGATAATTGGTCCCAGTATTTGTTACTACACTTTAAACACCTAAGACCATTAGAAAAATCTCTCTCTTCAAAGCACATTTAAAATATAACAGAGGCGGGGCCTGCTTAACTTTTGGGTTGTATTCGAAAGCCAGGGGGCTACTGCAGAAAAGTCCTCTCTTATGCCTGCTAGCCAGATAGATTTAGCTGACAGACATCTCAACAGCACCTTGGACACAGATTTTAGGATTATGGCATATGGATATAGTGTTTTGCCTAAAGTCATTTTTACCCATTATCACTGCTGTTGTTGCTTTGAAATGGACTTTTAATGTTGTGCTATTTTATTTGTTGCGCATTTTATATATTTTTATTATTATAGCTATTTTAAATAATTGTACTGTAGTCTGATTTTAAATTCTTGTAAATAAGTACATGAGTATTAGAAGGGTGGAACAGAAACATTCATTTACTAAATGAAACAAATATGCTGAACTTCTTACCCGTTAAAGCAAATCTACCGTATTTTTCGCCCCATAGGGCGCACCTAGTTTTTTGGGGGGGGGATAAAGAAATAAGAGCTGCCCGGAGCCCGGGGCGCGCTGCACAGCGCGCCCCAGGCTTTGGGATGCAGGCAGCTCTCCGCAAGCTTAGGGAGACCGGCTCCCAAGGCTTGCGGATAGCTTCCTGAAGCCTGGAGAGCGAGAAGGGTCGGTGCGCACCGACCCCTCTCGCTCTCCAGGCTTCAGCGAAAGCCTGCATTCGCCCCATAGGACGCACACACATTTCCCCTTCATTTTTGGAGGGGAAAAAGTGCGTCCTATAGGGCGAAAAATACGGTAATCAGTGTTCTACAAAAGTCAGTGCTCAGGATGTTTTTTTTTATTAAACCCCCTCCCCCGTGAATATCAGCCAAAGTTTAAACCAAAAAATCATTGAGTCACATAATGCCTAAGCATTTTATGTTAAAGAATGCAATTATTTCAAAATCATGATGCGCAAGCTTACCATAATATTATTTTTTCACTGATGTCTTTCCTATACGGGAAGGGTGAGCAAGCATCAACTTGAGTCTTTTCTACTGGAACTGAAGAGTTCAACTGATCAGCCACATAAAGATCAGCCCAGCCTTGCAAACCATCAATATCCACAAAATTGGAAGGAGCCCCCAAAGGATCCATGGAAGGGATCGGCAATCGGTTCAGTTTACTTCATAAGCACTCTACACTCCTACTTGAGTCCTGCTGGTATTCTGGACACACCACAATCAGACACTCGGGCTCTTTGTTAAAAACGGAGATGAAAGTTCCTGTGAAAAAGCACATCAGTAAATCATTGTGCTGTGTGAGCTTGAAAAAAACAGATGTGTGTGTGTTTTGACAAAAGATCCCTTCATAATAAAATTGTAAGAACCCGAAGGGCACTTCCTTAGAGAAACGCTCATTCAGGGATGCGCAGTTTTCCTCCCAAATGATGCCATTTCAGGAATACTATTTACTCCTAGACTAGTCTCCAAGAAGCCCTTTAGGTGTTGCTCTCACAGAAGCAGAAAATGTAGTCCAGAAGCAGGTTTGCTGCTTCAGATTGAAGGCAAGAGCCTGCATCATAGAATGCTCTTTTATATTATTTGTTTTTTTGCGCACTTACAGCACTTGCATGTCAGGGAAATGGGTTCTATCCTAGTTTTCTCCCAATATGAATATGCTAGTATTCTTTGTGTACATTTACATCTATATATGCTGCAAGAATGTTGCAATGCTTGATTATTTCTCTTTTATCAAAGAGAGACTGCAAATAGTGACACCAACAGGGCCATGAAATGCAGGAGGATAATAATAAGGCCACACAGAGCTGGGACATAAACAAGGCTTAAATAATAATAATAATAATAATAATACTCATTCAGAACAAGGATAGCACTTTTTCTCCCCCCTTAGGGTCTCTCCATGGCTATGTATGAGGATAACAAATGCCATTTGTTTTTGTTCTTGTTTTCATTATATATCATGTGTTTCCATTTTGTATTTTTACACTGTGAACCAGCCCTGAGGTCTTCAGATGAAGGGCTGTATACAAATCTGATAAAACAAAGTAATAAATAAATTCACTGGGCCCGGTGCATCTAGCTAAAAAAGTGTCTGCTCTGGATCAAGAAAAAGCCTTTTCTGCAGGGAGAAGAACTAGAAGTTATCCCCAAAACTGGCAGAAATAAGAGACCTGTTATTACCCAGCATGTTGCTTACATTTGAGAAGTTTCCCTTCCTTCCTGAGGAATGAAAAGGCGGGCAAGTGAGGAAGTAAGTGGTTATTGGTTTGGTTTGTTCCTGTTCTCATTATATACTTTGTGTATTTAATGCTGTGGACTGGCCACCCCAAGATCTTTAATAAATTCAATAAATAAATGAAACACACTTTGTTTGTTTGCTTATTAAATCTGCCTACTGCCCTTTATCTGTAGATCTCAGGGTGGCTCACAACACGGGCATAGCTGCCCCCTCCAAATCAAGTAAACAAATAAAAATACATAACTGACCAACTGCGTTGCAGATAACTCAGTTCTGGCCCAACATAAATCCTGCCCCCCCCCAAATAAATTCTGCCTACGCCCATGGCTCACAGCAACAGAACTTTTTAAGGCTTGATGTTTTAGTATGCTTTTATATACGCTGTAAGCCACCCAGAGTGGTTGGGGAAACCCAGTCAGATGAGCGGGGAATAAATGAAATAATGATGATGATGATGATATATTGTTGTTGTGAACCGCCCTGAGACCTACAATGAAGGACAGTACAGTATACAAATTTAATAAACGAAACACACTGGGGTGTGTGTTACTGGGTTGCTGTTTTTATTTTAATTATATATATTGTGGTTTTTATGTTGATCTTTTCTGTGAACTGCCCTGTGAACTGCGGTATATAAATTTGATAAATCATCCTAACAACTCTTAAACCACAGAGCCTAGGACTTGCCGATCAGAAGGTCGGCGGTTCTAATCCCCATGATGGGGTGAGCTCCCGTTGCTCGGTCCCTGCTCCTGCCAACCTAGCAGTTCGAAAGTACGTCAAAGTGCAAGTAGATAAATAGGTACCACTCCGGTGGGAAGGTAAACGGCATTTCCGTGCGCTGCTCTGGTTTGCCAGAAGCGGCTTAGTCCTGCTGGCCACATGCCCCGGAAGCTGCACGCCGGCTACCTCGGCCTATAGAGTGAGATGAGCGTGCAACCTCAGAGTCGGCCACGACTGGACCTCATGGTCAGGGGTCCCTTTACCTTTACCTATATGCTATATGGTAATTTGTGGACCTAATAGGTATCTGAAGCCATTTGCACAAGACAAAATGTGTATTTTATCCAGGTAATTGATATAGAAATGAGCAAGCCAGTGATCTTTTAGGGAGCAGGCTAGCAGACGGGCCCATTACTTACATCATAGGAGCCTACACAACACAAAACATTGTTGCTGTATGTAGGTTTTCATCTTATATTTTGGAAATGTACATCCAGGTTTTTTTTTCCTTTAAATTTTTTGGGGGCCCCCAAGAGAGTGGGGCCCTAAGCTATAGCTTGTTTAGCTTATACCAAAGGTCCGTATAGTAAAAGCTATTTTTTCCCCAGTAGTGATGTATGGAAGTGAGAGCTGGACCACAAAGAAGGCTGATCACCGAACAATGGATGCTTTTGAATTCTGGTGCTGGAGGAGATTCTTGAGAGTCCCATGGACTGCAAGAAGATCAAACCTCTCCATTCTGAAGGAAATCAGCCCTGAGTGCTCACTGGAAGGACAGATCCTGAAGCTGAGGCTCCAAGACTTTGGCCACCTCATGAGAAGAGAAGACTCCCTGGAAAAGACCCTGATGTTGGGAAAGATGGAGGGCACAAGGAGAAGGGGGCGACAGAGGACAAGATGGTGGGACAGTGTTCTCAAAGCTACCAGCATGAGTTTGACCAAACTGCGGGAGGCAGTGGAAGACAGGAGTGCCTAGCATGCTCTGGTCCAGGGGGTCACGAAGAGGCGGACACGACTAAACAACAATAACAACAATAATAATCAGGCACTGAATTGCTGCCTTTCATCTGTAGATCTTAGGGCAGTTCACAACACCAAAATAATAATAGTAGTAGTAGTAGTAATAATAATAATAATAATAATAATAATAAGTTTATGTTTATACATATGTTTATATTTATATGTAAACATGTATATCTTTATGTTTATATTTATGCCTCTGTATATGTTGTGAACCGCCCTGGGACCTGCGGATGAAGGGCGGTATGCAAATGTAATAAATAAGAAGGATGGTGGCTGAGGATGAGAATGAAAGCGGCGCCAGGCGGGCCCGGGAGACCCCTCGGTGGGTTCCTGAGGTAACTGAGGCGCGTGAGGGGGGAAGAGGAGCCGTTGGGGAGCCCAGTGGGGGAGGGGAGGGGAGGGGAGGCGCTGCCTGACTGACTGCCTGAGGGAAGGCGGCGGCGGCGGCCGCGGGGGACACTCACGGTCTCTGCTGCTGCTGCTGCTGCTCCTTCCGCCGCCCGTCCAGGCCCGGCGCCGCGGGAGCAGCCCTCCTTCCTCTCTCCCTCACGCGACGGGGGAGGCCGGCGAAACAAAAGCCGCCTCCTCCTTCCGGTCAACGCCCCGATCCTGCCCCAGCGCCACCTAGCCGCTCTTTCGCCTTGGGAAGGAGGGAGGGAGGCTGCAAGCGGCAGGGGCGGCGGGGAACGAGCCACGCTGAGGCGGGCGACCGGCGGCGCTGAACCGGAGGGGCCACCCCGAGGTCATCTAGTCCGACCCCCTCCAAATGCGGGGGTCTCTCTCCGCGAAAGAAGCCCACGCGGGACGTTTTGTTTCCAAGCCAGAAACCCCTTCTGAGGGGAAGGCGGAGGGCTCCAGATTCAGCCTCGGCTTCGAATTCAAAATGGGGGCGGGGTGTGAGTTTGACTTGCGTGCAAGGAGGACTTTCTTTTATTATTGTTTTTATTATTGGTTGGCCCCCCTGAGCCCAGTCTTAAATAAAATTTATTATTATTATTATTATTATTATTATTATTATTATTATTATTATTATTATTATTATTATTACTTGTCCTGAATTCTCCCCCCCACCACCACAGGCTTCCTCTTGCCTAATTTGTGCCCCCCCCCCAAGCCACGGCATCCCCTCGTATAGCACATAATGGCCCGCTGGAAAGTGGTGCAGCTTGGCCCCCACAACAGCCTGGCAGGGCAGTCCAAATCCCATTGCACACAGCAGGCTGGTAGAAGACATCTGGAAAGCAGCTGGAAGCCGGTCCCCCCCCCCTTAAAAATTGACTCATTGACTGACTTGGGAGAAGACTGCTTTGAACCCGGAAGCTGCCCGCGCAGGCAACGACGTCAGGGTGACTCTATGCTTTTTACAAAGTCTTCTTATCTCGTCGCAGTTTTGAGCGGCTTCCTTTTCCGGTGACGCTCCGCCCCGCCCCTTCCGGTTCCCTCAGATGGTCGGTCGCTCCCGGAACTTTGAGCCCCGCGGATGGAGCACGTGCTGCGCAGAAGCCGGGGGGAAATAAAGCTGCAGCTGACGGTGGGTCCAGCGGGCGGTTTAGGGCTGTTGGGCCAGAGCTCCCCAAGGAAGGGCAGAAAGAGAGTGTCTCTGACCCAGTGCAGAGTGCATTTCTCTCGTTTCCCGCGTGGAGGGCATATCCGTGTGGGCGGGAGAGCACGGGGGGGGGCTTTAGTTGTCACCCTCTCCTCTTTGCGTGTTTGCTGAAGAAATTCCAACTCCTGAGTAGCTACTCAAGTGTAGGGAGTCCGTAAAAAGCAGAGGCATCACCTTGCAACAAAGGTCCGTATAGTTCAAGCTCTGGTTTTCTTGGGCTCTATGATCACTGCAGATGGTGACAGCAGCCACAAAATTAAAAGACGCCTGCTCCTTGGGAGAAGGGCAATGACAGGCCTAGACAGCATCTTGAGAAGTAGAGACGTTACCTTGCCAACAAAGGTCTGTATAGTTAAGCCATGGTCTTCCCAAGTAGTGATGTATGGAAGTTAGAACTGGACCATCAAGAAGGCTGATCGCCGAAGAATTGATGCTTTTGAATTCTGGTGCTGGAGGGGACTCTTGAGAGTCCCATGGACTGCAAGAAGATCAAACCTCTCCATTCTGAAGGGAATCAGCCCCTGAGTGCTCACTGGAAGGACAGATCGTGAAGCTGAGGCTCCAAGACTTTGGCCACCTCATGAGAAGAGAAGACTCCCTGGAAAAGACCCTGATGTTGGGAAAGATGGAGGGCACAAGGAGAAGGGGACGGCAGAGGACGAGATGGTGGGACAGTGTTCTCAAAGCCACCAGCATGAGTTTGACCAAACTGCGGGAGGCAGTGGAAGACAGGAGTGCCTGGCCTGCTCTGGTCCAGGGGGTCACGAAGAGTCGGACACGACTAAACAACAACAACAAACAATTGGCGGCAGAGCCCTGCACAGTGGTACCTCGGGTTAAGTACTTAATTCGTTCCGGAGGTCCGTACTTAACCTGAAACTGTTCTTAACCTGAAGCACCACTTTAGCTAATGGGGCCTCGTGCCGCCGCTGCGCCACCGGAACACGTTTTCTGTTTCATCTTAACCTGAAGCAAAGTTCTTAACCTGAAGCACTATTTCTGGGTTAGCAGAGTCTGTAACCTGAAGCGTATGTAACCTGAAGTGTATGTAACCTGAGGTACCACTGTACCTGAATTGGGGTCTGTGCACTGGAATACGTCTGTGGACAGCCATGCTGAATATGGATGTTGCAGGAAGAAGACCTGACAGCGAGGATGGGGCTGAAAGTGTGCCCCAGCTCCACCATCAGTACACATGTGCCCTGCATGCAAGTAGCATGTGAGCAGGGCTACTGGCTCTCCAGGTCACATACTTTGAGTAAGGGGTTGCTAATTTACATCGTTTACCTGCCTGATTAGAATTGTAGAGTTGGGAGGGACTCCGAGGTTCATCTAGTCCAACCCCCAGCTATGCAGGTATCTTTTACCCAACGTAGGGCTCAGACTCAGGACCCTGAGATTAAGAGTCTCATGCTCTACCAACTGAGCTATTCTTTGGCGATGTCCTGGGAAAATGAAATTGTTTAGTTCCAATGGACCTGAACTGTATGTGTAGATTACATCTGCACAGATGTATCCTAAAGGCAGTGCTAACAGCATATACATCCAAGTCATCCGTTAAAAATAGCAGGGAATGCTGCAAATACCATAGAATGTAACGTTTCTATGCTAATTCTTAAGAGATGGAAGAAAAAACAACCATTCCCTAAGAGCCAATACTTATTTTCTGCATTTCTGCTTCAGAATTAACATTTGCCTCCTCCCCTTCTTGTCCAGACTGGATTCTGCAAAGACCTGCGAACCTCTCCATGGGGCTTACCAAGCAATATCTACGTTACACGGGCGCTGCCCTTTTTGGAGTAGTTGCCAGCCAAAAAGGCAATATTGTCTATGTGACGCTGCGGGGCGAAAAAGGCCGTTATGTAGCAGTGCCGGCCTGTGAGCATGTTTTCATCTGGGATACTCGGAAGGGAGAGAAGGTGAGCAACTTTCTTAGCATTTGAGACGGATGTGCAGTAGCCCAAGATGTCACGTTTCTTGCATTTCATGTATAATGTATTTTTGTTTGCTGTGGTCACACAGAGTTGTGATGGTGTCGGCTGATGGCACAGTATTCCCTTTTGGCATTTCTATTGCCATTCCCTACACTGGATAGAACTCTGTTTATCCATATTGCATAGAAATACTTGAATTAAGCATAAGAGTTGATATTATAGCAGTGCCTCTTAGAGCACTTTCAGTGGTAATCTCTTTCTTGCTAGCAGTTTCTGCCCCTTTATTTACCGTATTTTTCGTTCTATAGGACGCACTTTTTCCCCTCCAAAAATTAAGGGGAAATGTGTGTGCGTCCTATAGAGCGAATGCAGGCTGCGCCGCTAAGCCCAAAGCCAGAACAGCGAGACGGAGCACTGCGGAGCGCTCTGTCTCGCTGTTCCAGCTTGGGGACGGCTGCGCGCACAGCGTCTCCAGGGCAGCGGGGTGCCTTCACCCCGCTGTCCTGCAGAAGCTAGCAAGGCTGTTCCGAAGCCAGAACAGCGAGACGGAGGGCTCCGTCTCGCTGTTCTAGCTTGGGGGTTTCTGCGCGCACAGCGTCTCCAGGGCAGCGGGGTGCCTTCACCCCGCTGTCCTGCAGAAGCTAGCAAGGCTGTTCCGAAGCCAGAACAGCGAGACGGAGCGCTCCGTCTCGCTGTTCCAGCTTGGGGACTTCTGCGCGCACAGCCTCTCCAGGGCAGCGGGGTGCCTTCACCCCGCTGTCCTGCAGAAGCTGCAAGGCTGTTCCCAGGCCAGAACAGCGAGACGGAGGACTCCGTCTCGCTGTTCCAGCTTGGGGACGGCTGCGCGCACAGCGTCTCCAGGGCAGCGGGGTGCCTTCACCCTGCTGTCCTGCAGAAGCTAGCAAGGCTGTTCCGAAGCCAGAACAGCGAGACGGAGGGCTCAGTCTTGCTGTTCTAGCTTGGGAATTTCTGCGCGCACAGCTTCTCCAGGGCAGCGGGGTCCCTTCACCCCGCTGTCCTGCAGAAGCTAGCAAGGCTGTTCCGAAGCTAGAACAGTGAGGCGGAGGGCTTCGTCTCGCTGTTCCAGCTTGGGGACGGCTGCGCGCACAGCCTTCTGTCCTGTCCTTCTGTCCTGCAGAAGCTAGCAAGGCTGTTCCGAAGCCAGAACAGCGAGACGGAGGGCTCCGTCTCGCTGTTCTAGCTTGGGAATTTCTGCGCGCACAGCTTCTCCAGGGCAGCGGGGTCCCTTCACCCCGCTGTCCTGCAGAAGCTAGCAAGGCTGTTCCGAAGCCAGAACAGCGAGACGGAGGGCTCCGTCTTGCTGTTCTAGCTTGGGGATTTCTGCGCGCACAGCCTTCTGTCCTGTCCTTCTGTCCTGTGCGCACAGCCTCTCCAGGGCAGCGGGCGCTGCGCTCCAAAGGCTTCAGGGATCTTTGAGGCTGGCGGTGGGGGAAAGCTGTGATTCCCCCCACCACCAGCCCCACAAGCCTGGGTGAATGTACCTTGAACACACCTTGTTTTAGAGGGGGAGAACAAGAAATTTTTTTTTTCCCCTGCTCTCCCCCTCCTGTGGTCCGGTGCGGCCTATGGAGCGAAAAATACGGTATTTGTTAATACAGAATGTATTCCTCTTAGTGTGGAGTATATAGTCAAAATAGCAGCAACATCGATTTTTAATAAGGTATTAGCAAACTTGGAGGAACCCCCGCACTTTAAATTGCTCTGAGTATATGATGGTTAACAGTAGTTAACAAATCTGTGTTATGAGTACTAAGGCTTGCAACATATATTTAATTAAAAGATGTGCCCTTCCAGCCTTTTCTAGGTGAGCGTGGCTGTGTCACACCATATGACAACAGTCTCTTGTATTTCACCTTGCAGGTTCTCATCCTCCAGGGCCAAAAGCACGAGGTTACTGCTCTTTGCCCATCCCCAGATGGTCTTCACTTGGCTGTTGGATATGAGGATGGATCAATCCATGTATTCAGTCTCCTAAGTGGTGAAGGAAATGTTACTTTCAATGGTCATAAGGCTGCCGTTACTGCCCTGAGGTATGATGAGCTGGGAGGAAGACTGGCTTCAGGATCAAAGGTTAGAAATTCTTTGGATAACTGGTGGCTAATAGATGTAACTAAAGTGTGTCAACTCTTTGTTGATAATGTGGTTCAAATTTAGGTATGCGGCATGTAGTGGATGAGGTCTGGTGTGTTGGTTGAACATAACATCCCTGAATCTTCAGAACATCATTGTCATAATTGATAATTTCTGTTTCATTGTAAATTGCTTTGAGGGCCATGAAAAGGTGATACAATGAAGAAAGGCGGCCATAAAAATAT